TGTCTGCCCTCGTATCGATAACTTCTTCTCTACGTCCAGCCAAAAGGAAGCTTAATCATGAGTGTGCGCGGATGCTATATTGTCTGCCCCCGTGGTTAAATCCTTTTCTAATGCCCAGAAGGAAGTTTTATATTGGATGTGTGACGCCGTTTGTGCTCACCCCCACATATAAATGTATTACACTTCCACAAAGCCCAACACATTGAGAAGAATTTCTCAGTGCACGTCCAGCGTAAATCCTGATATACTTCCGCGTTGCTTTTGATTGTCCTTTGTGTGTCATTCGTTCAATCGCTGTGACTCGTGGGCGCTGAGCATCAAGCATTCTACTTTCAGGTAAACTGAAGTCGGAAATGGCTGATGTAAGCATCGCGACTGTTACGGCGTATTTGGACGGCTGGCCGGGGCTCAAGAGCAACGCCGAGAAGCTGTTTGCCACTGCGGACCGATTGGCTACCTTGCGCAATCGGGACCACAAGGCTTTGACAAACAGTCAGGTACAAGTCGTCCAGCAAATCAACCGTAGGGTGTGCGTCATGCGCCCCTTGGTTGCACGCCCAGTCGATCCCGCCCAACTCGTGTTACACGAGGCCTTTATGGCACGAGGCGGTGCTCTTTGTCTAGCAGAAATGCTAGACACTCGTTCTAAAATCATCGATGCTTATCGATTGATTACCGGTGGTGGCGATATGCCCGGTATCGGTCCCAACGGGGATCCGATCCCAGAACCGGACGAGAACGCCCAGAACAATGCCCAGAATGAAAATCATCTTGATTATAATCAGGATGATAATGTCCAGCACCTCGCGGGCCAAGAAGCTGAGGTTCAAACCGAAGCTGCTCAGCCTAAGGGGGACGCCCAGTTTCAGGTTGGTGTGTCGGTAGACACTCTGCAGAAGATGCTCGACGGGATGGCCAAGCAAGTGACCGAGAACCTCTCCGGTCAAGTGCAAAAGATAGTGGAGCAGCAGGCCGCGACGAGCATCAAGGTCGACTGCCTCTCTAATGCCCATCAGCACTTGCTCGAACGCATCAAGACGCTTGAGTCACACCAACCGACGTCCAGCCTCGATTTGAATATGCCACCTCCTCTTGGGTCATATTCGAATCCTATCAATGCCCAGCCGGTTACGCCAATGCGTAATGCCCAGCCTAGTACACCCGTGTACAATGCCCAGCGAGAACTTTTCCCACAACCGGGACTATTCTCCCCCGATTCCCCCGATTCCCGCACGGGATCGAAAGTGACCGATGAAGAGATTGACGCGCTCTTCAAATTGGCACGCCCAGCTATGTTCACCAGTCTAGATGGGCGCAATCTCTTCGAACAGCGGAATTCGGTGGAATCAAGGGACGCGAGAGCCAAATACCGAGGCCTCAACTTCGCTATCCATGACGTTAAGCTACCCAAGTTTAACGGCGAAATTTCCAAGTTTCGCAATCATTGGATGCGTTGGATCGAAAAAGCGAATCAGGTGTGTATCTCCGATGGAGAGAAGCTTGATTTGCTTCGGTTGAGCACTGAGGGCTTAGTGCGCGAAGCACTAAGCCTGTACGAAATGTCATCGCTAGGCTTACTCCAAGCCACGCGTTTCCTCTTTGAGGAATACTATGACAGTACCAACCGCCAAACACAGGCCATCCAGCAAATCATGACTCTGCCTCAGGTGGATGGTGATTTTAAGAACCTTGACGTGGTCTTCGCGACCCTACGCCCAGTTGCCGTGGAACTTGATGACCTTGAAGCAAGAGATGTTCGCCTTCGGGAACAGATTCTTTCGAAGTTTCCGAAAAGTGTCAGCTCTTCGTTTCACATCAAGTACCCGGATGCGTTGACTACGTCTACGCTTACAAATATGACCAGCACTCTCCACCACTGGGTTCAAGCCTGCGCCCGCCAACGCATGACCGAGCTGTCCCACTACCTCATCCAAGCTTCTACGACACGATGCCCCTTCTGCAGCGAGAAAGGACACCGCCCTGTTGACTGCACGAAGTTCAAGGGAAGCAGTGAGCAATTCCGCTTGGTCAAGGAACAATATCGGTGCCGTGTTTGCCTCGAGACGGATCATGAGACAGGTCGGTGCAGCTCAGAACCTTGTGACCGCTGCGGTGCCCCACATCACCTCCGGTTCCACAACTTGCACGAGCCAAAGGGCGTGAACTTTGATTCGAATGGCGAATCAAGGGGTCGTCATCACAGCTTGAGCAAGGACCGTGGGTTCCGTGATCGTAGCGGGTCCAGTGACCATTACGATCACCGCCGGAAGCACCGTAGCGATATCGCCCAGCATGGCAGTTCCGCCAAACGTCCAGATAGTTCTCACACAAGTCCAGCAAACAAGGCGGACGCGAAAGCGTCTTCTAAGCCGTACTACCACTAGTGCGGTTGCTTTGTTCATGACCAGTCTTTTCAAAAGTCCAGTTTTTTTCAGACGTCCAGATTTTTTCAAAGCCCAGTCTTTTCAAAAGTCCAGTTTTTCAGACGTCCAGGTTTTCTCAAAGCCCAGTTTTTTCCAAAAGTCCAGTTTTTCCGATGCCCAGGTATTTCAAAAGTCCAGTTTCCAAGATGCCCAGGCTTTCCAAAAGCCCAGTTTTCCTTACGCCCAGGTTTTTTCACCTAAGCCCAGAACGACGCCCATCAACTTGGTAAATGAAGCTTCGTGGAAAGTCATCTTTCCTGTTGCGGATACCCCTGCTGTTCAACTTCACAACCATGGCCACACCCACATGCTCACTATTACGTATCAAGCTGACAGCAAACCAATTTATCAGGTTGTATATCCTTTTGTGTGTACCTGTACCCTCATCCGTTGTTCTCCCCCCCACACCGTGTTGCACACGGTTTTCCACGTCCCCACTTGGTTGTAAGGTCTAACTCAAAACGCCTTTCAAAATTCATTCAAAAAATTTTCTTTTCGCTCGGGCCGGAAGGCCTTTCCACTACGCGTTCGCACCTAACTGCACCCCGAATTCGATGACTGCTTTCAAGTCCACTAGATCCATCCCGTCATGGCTGACGTTGCCATTGCGTCCGTCTCTGGGCCAGTGCGCTTACAGAAGTCCGCGGGCGGTCGCTGAGTCGAAGGGTTCGACTAATACCTTCCTCAGTTCAGTGGTGCCCCACTCAGTCGCTGAGTTGGGGCGGCAGTGTCGAAAGTTGTCAGCATTATGCTGCAACGTTCGATGGTTTGCTAAAAGGTGTACGTTACCGTAGCGCGGCGCCCCCTCCCCCGGAGAGGGGCGGAGCTGCTTTCGTATTTATCGACCAGACGAATTGACGGATTTTATTAGGGTTTACGACCAGGTCTGTGTAGGTATTGCGATAGCAAAGGCCCAGCTACCTTTTGCTTTATGCCCAGCACCTTTTGCCTAAAGCCCAGCGAGTGAGACCTACACTTTACCCTGTCCCCAATATACGTCGATGAGTGTATTTGTATTCTAATGGTTTATACTGCCGATAAACTTTGTGTTTTATCTTTTGTCTTCTATCCCGAAATGCACTGGATTCTATTACACGATTGTAGAAACTACCACTGAACATTGTATGACTTCTTGTCTAGCTTCTTGGTGTTCCTCTGCCATCTTCTTGGTTCGTGATCTATCGGATACAGGATAGTCCGAGCGGGGGCCCAAGGGGCACAGTCCTAAGTATTAGTGTGGCAACTCTAGCCTCCTCCATGATCTATTATAGTAGAGGATTTGGCGCAGAGAGACTATTACTTTCGACAGAGAGAGAGAAAGATAGAGGGAGAGAGCGAGAGAGAGCGAGAGAGAGCTAGAGAAAGATCGAGCGAGAGAGAGAGAGCGGGAGAAAGAGCGAGAGCGAGCGAGGGAGAGAGCTTGAGAGAGAGCGAGAACTTTCTAGAGTAGAATCTCCTCCCATGGCATGGTAGCGGTACCAAATTTTTACATGGTTCTTGAACATGTGGCGCCTCTTCTCTTCCGCTTTCTGTCTACTTTTTGACGCAGGGTTTTCCGGTAAGCTTATCGGGAAATTCAGGGGGTCCAGCAGCGGGCCGTGGGTCACAAGGTCTAGCCGAAACCTATTGTTTGCTTCGCCCTTCGCAAACCCTCGTGGATTTGTTATTTTTTACGCTTTTTCCTTGCGCAATTGAACGATTAATAATTTATCAAATTCTGTATCCCCCTGTGATGTCCCCTTTGAGAAAACACAAGATAGAAAACGAGCAGCGATCGTGTAGTAACGGCAGGCTAGCAGAGGTTTTTTGGGAAGGGGCATGGTGGCAGAGCTTCTTTAGGAAAAAGAGGCTGGCCGAGATTCTTTAGGATAGGGCAGGCTAGCAGAGAACTTTTGCGAATCCACCAATGTCGTCGGCATATCTGGATCGATCACAATTGTGGTAGGTGACTCACTGGCTGATCCGCTCGTTGGCGGCTTATCGGAATCGCGCACTCTCTGTGCCTCCACCTTTCTCTCCTCTCTCTCTCTTTCTCTCTCTCTCTCTCTCTCTCTCTCTCTCTCTCTCTCTCTCTCTCTATCTCTCGCTCTCTCTCTTTCTCACACAGCAATAACACAAAAACCAGAAGCGATTTTATTGGTGTGTAAGTCCACGGCAACCCCCTTGATGTTGTAGTGTAGGCCCGGGGAGTTTGGGCAGCGGTGTTTGCAGCTGTATTCGAAACTCTTATCTAGAATTCGAATTATAATTTGGGGCAGTAAACATGGGGCGGGGTTTGTAATGCATTTAAGACTACGGTAGCTGCGCTGTTGCGCTAACACTGGCCTCTACTTTGTGCTTACAAGATGGTTTTTTTGGCGTTACAGTTCATGGTTGAAGACCAAAACACAGCCATCCCCCCTTATCACAACTGATGATTCAGATGATCTAGAGGCTATGCGAAAGAACTCGAGGAACTTGAGTCTCCCTCTCTCCCTCTCTCTCTCTCACTCTCACTCTCTCTCTCTCTCTTCATCTCTCGCTCTCCCTCTCACTCATCACCCATTCAATCTTGCAACTATCTGGTTTAGGGGCCTGATGGCAATCCTCAGCAAATTGGCCCCAGTTCTGGACATCGAGGGGCGAGTGTCAAAGTACGTTCCCTGCTGGCATGGTCCCTTTAAGGGGCACATGCAAACATCCGCCCAGTATATTAGAACGGATGCGCCTAATGAGGCAGAAGAGAACGCTTAGGCTTAGGTTTTTAGGCTTAGGTTTAGACTTAGGTTAGGCTTAGGTTTAGACTTAGGTTAGGCTTAGGCTTAGTTTAAGGTTAGGCTTAGGTTTAGACTTAGGTTAGGCTTAGGCTTAGTTTAAGGTTAGGCTTAGGTTTAGACTTAGGTTAGGCTTAGGCTTAGGCTTAGGCGTAGATTAGGCTAAGGCTTAGGCTTCACCTAAGCCTCCACCTAGTAAGGCTCGAACGATAAAAGAGTAACCGAGCTTAATGGTCGTTATATGCTAGGTCGATATCACTTTTCAGGGTTAGCGTCATCCGTTGCGTGACTCCAGACGATTCCTGTGAACAGATCCACGTCAACGTGCGAAGCGCCGTCTCGGTCAGCCATTTGAAGCTGCGTGTACCGCTTTGTCGCACCCCGGAGATCACCAATCTCAACGGCAAGGTGAGCTTCGTCTATCACGCCCTAAACCTAAGCCTAGGCCCAAGTCAAAGCCTAAGCCTAAGCCTACGCTGACTATTTTGGGGGTTAATTGTAATTCACCAAAAATTTATGTATGAAAATTCTCTCTCTCTCTCTCTCTCTCTCTCTCTCTTTCTCTCTCTCACCTGCGATTCAGGTCGTCCGCGTCCGCGTCCACCTCTACCGTCACAAGGATCCAAACGCACTGTACGCTCCGGACATGTTCCCCGGCAAACCATTTTCGACGATACGATACGGCTGCTTGGACGAATGCCGGAATGCCCGGCATAACGCCGGGGAAAATGCGGATGGCTCACTGTAAGTGAAAGACATTCCAAAAGAATCTCTCTTAGCCTGCCCGATCAAGGCCCCCTTTCAGCTACACGATTCGGGAGTGGCTGGACTACCTCACCGTAATCGAAGAAGTTTATGGAATTCCACGCCAGTACTATCGACCGTCAGACCCGTAAGCCTCAGCTGAGCTTTAATTAAGCCTAAGCTAAGCTTAATCCCAAGTCGACGTCTAAGCTTAATCCTTAGGCTAATCCTAAGCCTAAACCTAAGCCTAAGACTAAGCCTAAAAACATAAGCCTGATCATTTTAGCGACTTCATCATTACCCTACGAAGCAAGGTAGACTTGTGCGAAGGGGAGGAGCCGAACACCCTCAAAAGTGTGCACCTCGTCACCAATGCGCTCACTGGCGAGTTCATGGAGCTGATCATCTACCAACACCTCCGATGTCAGACTGAAGAGATGAAATTGGAGATGGGAAAGGTTCGTATTGAGCATCAGAGCGGGAGAGAGATAGAGAGAAGAAGTGAGAAAGAGAGGGAGAGAGGGAGAGGTGTGGAGAGTTAGACAATACAGTACCCTATTTACAGTACTATCAACTCTACTACGTGGGAGCCCGCAACTCCAACCCTGTTCGCCTCTTTGCCTCGACCAACACGGAAATCTACGAGTCCGGACGGGTGCATAATCTCAAGTGAATTCGGCACATGTACAGTGATCCCCCCTCTCTCTTACCTCTATCTCGTCCTCTCTCACTCTATCTCACTCTCTCCCTGTCTCTCGCTCGCTCGCTTTCTTTCCCTCTCACTCGCTTTCTCTCTGACTTTCTCTTTCTCTCTCTCTCTCGCTCACTCACTATCTCACTCTCTCTCTCTCTCTCTCTCTCTCTTTATCTCACACTATCTCTCTCTCACACTATCTCTCTCTTTCTCTCTCTCTCTCTCTCTCTCTCTCTCTCTCTCTCTCTCTTTCTCTCTCCCTCTCTCTCTCTTTCTCTCTCTCGCGCTCCCTTCTTTCTACGAGTTGTCGCTCCATTACTGATTGTTTGCATTTCGCGAGTGCCCGGCTAGTCCCTTCGAATCTCTCTAATTTATTTTGGTCTTTCCAGCCCTTCCCCTGTGTTTTTATACAAATTCCGGTGTATCGTTTATAAATACCGCATACCGTAATTTTAAAAATACCGTATTTTGTACAGGAGAACAGGAGATTTGGTGGGATGATCAGCTTGCACAATATAAACTCGAAAGGATCCGTTTTTTTTCGGTTTTATGCCGGAATTATTCCTCTTCACTACTGTCGCCGTCATCAGTATCGACGTGTAGGGTCGGCTTGGTATCCGGCAGGGTAGGGAACCAATCTTTGAGGGTTGGGAATGCGGCTTCGACCAGGGAAAGCCTGAAAATGCAGGGACTAGCAGGGATTCTTTAGGAAAGGGCAGGCTAGCAGAGGTTTTTTAGGAACTCACGCTTCTTTATTCAGCACGTAGCCAAGCCGGTAATATTCCGTGTCAATGCCGTTGAAGCGGAAGCAGTTGTCGAATAGCCGCCTCAGGTCAGCGAGGAAGAGAATTTCCTAAAAATGAGGCTAGACAGAGAGAGAGAGGGAGAGAGAGAGAGAGAGAGAGAAGGAGAGAGAGAGAGATTGAACTTACATGAGTATAATACTTATTCTTCAGCCGTTCCTGTATGGTTTGCATATCGATCGGCTGCGTAATGAAGGAGTAGTAGTCCGGAACCTATAAAAAGCGGAATAAAAAGCAATTTACGGAATCTCTGCTAGCCTGCTCTTTCCTAAAGAATCTCTGCTAGCCTGCTCTTTCCTAAAGAGTCTCTGCTAGCCTGCCCACCTGCACCGGATCCACCGGCTCCAAAAATGGCCACGATTCCTCCTCGTTTTTCAGCTTGTTGACGATGGATCGAATCTGAAAAAAAAAACAAACTTGATAATGCCCTTAAACTGCGAATTCCTGGAAAATTTATAGTTTAGGATATATATGGGTCGAAGCCCGGGGGCGCCGCCAGAGGCGCCTCCCGAGGCACCCCCTGGGGGCGTGCCGAGTGGCGCCTGTGGCGGCGCCTGGGGCTGACCAAAAGGCGCCGGAAAACCGAGATGCAAAGCAAAGATGCGGTGTTCTTATGGAAATCAGATTTGACTGCTGATCCTTAATATCAAAGAAGGCAAAAACTATTAGTTGATTGAAAAACTTTACCAACTGTGACTTAAATACAAAAAATATAGATGATTTTTCTGCCAAAAATTGCCGACATTTCCAATCTCACTTCCAATTTCGAAATTTCCACCTAAAATTCCTTCCAATTTTTATTTTTTTTACTTAAAAGATAGTTTAATTTTGCTAAAAACATTATTAAAAGGCTGACTATTACGTTGATGGGCTGTTCTGAAGTGCAAGAGAAAAAGTTATTTGCAGGTTCTCTCTACTGTCCGTCGCTCTTGCGCTTGAAATGAATAATTAACATTAGACTAGAAAATTTGCATAATCTCACAGGCGCCGTTGGTGACGCCCCCCGCCCCGTTAAAAATCATAGGGGCGGCGCCCCCAGGCGCCACTCGGCACGCCCCCCAGGGGGTGCCTCGGGAGGCGCCTTTGGCGGCGCCCCCGGGCTTCGACCCATATATAGTTTAGGAGTGTAGTCTACGATGAAGTACAGACTACAACTAATTTCGGTTTTATTACCTGCTTCAGCATTTCTTGCTGGGCATGTTTCTGTAAGGAAATTATCTTGCTCTGAGGTGAGCTTAGGCTTAGGCTTAGGCTTAGGCTTAGGCTTAGGCTTAGGCTTAGGCTTAGCTTATGCGTCGCCCTGGATGAGTTTCCAAGTCTTTTCTCTACAAAAGCCTAAAAATCACCTTGTTTTCCGCGTCTTTCCTGTGTACAATCTCCTCCTCGGGCTCGTTCTCGAGGTCGGCGATCTCGGCGAGCGGGACCGGCTCGTTCACTGAAGCGCGATTTTGAAGGCTTGCTTGACGAAGGCTTGGCTTAGGCTTAGCTTAGGCTTAGCTTCGGCTTAGCTTCGGCTTAGCTTAGGCTTAGCTTAGGCTCCGCTGAGGCTGGGCTAGGGCTCGGACTACAAAATCGACTCACCGTACTCCTTGAACTTGTGCTCGATGCCGGCACGCGTCACCTTCTCCGCCTCGTTCGGGTAGACGATCTTGGCCACCTCGCGGATCAAGTCCCGCTCGACCATGCAGAATTGGGCGTAGTGCGTGTACGGGATCCTGAATCGTCTCTTTAAAATGCTGAAAATCTTACAAAAAAAAATGCGTAAATTGCAAAACACATTGTTTTTCTCGTTTTCTGGGCTTTCTGCTTGCGATAAAGCTTTCAGGAACCCTAACCGGCCTCAAAGGTCGACCGGAAGTGACAGGGATTCTCTTATCGCTTCCGGAACCCGCTGGTTGCCCAGAAAAATGCTCGCTCTCTACTCTCTCTCTCTCTCTTTCTTTCTCTCTCTCCCTCTCTCTCTCTCACTCTCTCTCTCTCTCTCTAAATGCAAAAATCTATTTTCAGAGCCGAATGGCAGGGGCGGCACCCGGCCGCGAGATTACGATCCAATGACCGGGAGAGGGAGGGCAGGGAGCGGAAATATGTAAAGAATGGTGTTGGAAGTTAGCACCTATCCTAGAGGAAAGGGCAGGCTAGCGGAGATTCTTTATGAAACGGCAGGTTAGCAGAGACATTTTGCTACCGTTCCCTTCGTGTACTATTCCTTTAAAACCACTAAAAGAAGCCTACTGTGGATGCAAATGGCAGGCCATCAGCGTGGCGCCATCGTAGTCCTTGATGAAGCCCTTGTAGTTCTCTTGCGGAATCGGGATTTCCTGGAATTAAAAAAATTGGTGTAAGCGAGAGACAGAGAGAGAGAGAGAGAGAGTGAAGCAGTTCCCAACGACTTACGGTAGTAAAACCCTGCTTGCTAAAATAGCCGATGGCCAGCTTGTCGGCGTAGGTCATCAGGTGGTAAATCTGGAGGCTCTGAGCGTGGAATTCTTTGACGTGGTTCATCAGATGGGTTCCGTAGCCTTTCACCTGAAAATGGGATTTTAAAAGGACTTGCAAGGTAAAAACTGACCTGCTCGTCGGCGGTGACGGCGCAGAAGACGATCTCGGAGAAGCCCTGCTTGACGAAGGCCCGGAAGCAGATGCCGCCGATGACACCGCGGTCTGAAAAAGTGGCTGGTTAGTGATTTTTCTCTTTCTCTTTCTCTCTCTCTCTCTCTCTCTCTCTCACCTACCCGGCTTAATGATAACCATATTCATATGACGCGTGTCGTAAATTAGCCTCGTAATGTACTCCCTCGGCATCTTCGGCAAGGCAACGCTATAGAGTTGGAGGAGCTGAAACTTGCCGGTCCCTCTAAAATTCACGAATCGTACCTGGGATAGGTAGTAGAGGATGTTGGACTGCATCTGGACGTCGACTCGATTCTGGATGACGCGAAATCTGCAACAGCGTCCTGAGGTTAAGCCTAAGCCTAGGTCTAAGCCTAAATATAAGCCTAAGCCTAAGCCTAAGCCTGAGCTTAATCCTAAGCCTAAGCCTAAGCCTAGGCCTAAGCCAAAGGCTTTCCAGGATCTAGCCTGTCACTAAGCATGCAAAAAAACTTACTGTAGATCCCCATTCAGCTCCTCCTCGAAAACGTCGTCGGCCCTGGCGACGTCGATCATCAGCGGGTCGCCATTTTTCTGCTGCACTTTCCGGGCATCGATTCTCCGCTGACGAGCAAACTAAAAAAGCGTAGCAGAGATTCTTTAGGAAAGGCAGCCTAGTAGAGACCGTTTAGGAATTACCTGATAAGCCGCCGTGATCAGGTTTTTCACCTCGAGATCCCCGGAAATTGTTGTCTTCTAAAAAGTGCCAAGTTTAGAGTTCTCAAACTCAATCCCAACCTCCCCATTCAGCCATTTGCCGTAGAATTTTAGGGGCTTCTCGAGGCGCTTTGCCCCCCGGAGCGTGTACTTGAACTCGACGTCCTCCTGCGGCTGATCATCTTCGGGGTCCAGTGGTTGAAAGTGAGCAGTGGCCTAAAAATGGAAGGACATACCGTATCGTCGCGTTGGAAGGGCTCCTTTCTGAGGTGATCGATGACGTCGGCGACGACACGGGCGAATTTGGGGCCACGCTGGAATGGTTTGTTAAAAATTTGTCATCTTGCGTTTCCTAAAGAATCTCTGCTAGCCTGCCCTTTCCTAAAGAATTACTGCTAGCCTGCATACCTTTAATAGCGCTTCAGCGATCAGGTGATGTTTCAAGTGGCTGAGCGCCCGTACCGCGAAACGCTTCCCGAAAATCCGGACCGGTTGACAAATCGGGAGCACCGGGACCAGCAACGGTATTCGGCACCTAAAAGTGGGAGATAGCTAGAGAGAGAGAGAGAGAGAGAGAGAGAGAGAGAGAGAACAGACTGCTGACTTACCACCAAAAATGCCGAGCTCGCATCAGGTCGAAGCCCGCGCGGTTCAGCTGGTTCAGCGCTTCGCGGGCTTCGTTGGCTTCGCGGAGTTCTCGAGATTCTCCTAAAACAAGTTAATTTTTGGGGCGAACTAGCAGGGATTCTTTAGGAAAAGTTAAGCTACCCACCGGCCGCCTCCTGGTCCACAATGATCTCCGCCTCAGCCCGTGTCCGTTTTGTCGTCACGTCGCGGAACGCCCTCAGCGCGGCCAGCTGCCGCTTCCCGCGCTTGTGATGGACTAAAAAATGTTTGAATTTCAATATTCGATTGATTGAGAGGTAGCTGGCACTCCTCCTTTAGCCCCCGATGCCACTCACTTTTGGCCGCAAATTCCGCGGGGCGCGGCGGGTTCCAGAAATTCAGACGCTCAAGCACAAACTCGCAGGCGGCGATGCGGGAGGCTGTTGAGGAGTAGTCGCTGAAAGTAAAAAAAGCTGAAAAATAAGCCTAAGCGAAGCCAATGCCTAAGCCTAAGCCTAAGCCAAAGCTTAACCTAAGTCTAAGCCTAAGCCAAGCAAAGCCTAAGCTAGGCCTAATCCTAAGCCTAGTCCTAAACCTAATCTAACCCTACCTCGGATTCCTCAAGAATCTATGCAAGTGTTCCTCCACCGAACACTCGTCCTGCGGGTAGAAGGGCGGCATGCCGGACCAGTGAACTGGGACTAAAATGGATTATTTAGACAGAATTCCAAAATAATCTCTGCTAGCCCACCCTTCCCAAAGAATCTCTGCCAGCTTGCCCGAAAACCCACACTCCAAATCCGGGTCGACATTCTGGATTCGAAGAAGCAACAGGTTAAGCACCTCTCCAAGGAGCTAAAACCACGTTTTTTTCTCGATTTTGATCTCGGATGGCTTCCCACCCCCTTTAAAATCCAAAACTCACGACAAACGTCTGCATGTCGAGCCCGGGCACCTTTTTTCCATAGCGTAATCGAAGGTCGGCACATCGCTTTACCCAGCTGCGACACTGCAAAAAGGACTGTCCGTATCCCTTTAAGCATAATTCCTAAAGAATCTCTGCTAGCCTGCCCTTCCCTAAAGAATCTCTGCTAGCCTGCCATTTCCTGAAGAATCTCTACTATGTCCGACCTGCAAGAGTCGCATCCAGTTCATCCGCTTCGTCACCCTCTCCGACATCTCGGACAGCGCCAGTAGCTTGGCGATGATCACGTCGTCCTGCGTCAGTAGATGAGCAGAGTGGGCTACTGTAGGATTACGGTAATCGTACCAGTTGCGTGTAACTTACGCAACTCATGGCCACATCCTCGGCAAGGGGTCCCGAACTGCGGGTAGACGGTGTCTTTTGACAGCTGAAAAGCGGAGAATTTTTGGTCCGAATGGATCTCTGCTAGTCTGCCAAAATAAAGATACGTGTGCTCAACTTACCGTCACCACCCGCTCGCCAATCTCGCGTAGATACGTCCGCTTCTCCGCATTCCTCGCCAGCACCTCGACTTTCTTCGGGGTCGAGCTGCGCGCCATCGGGTTCCCGACGGCCGCCATCTTCAGTGGGTGCACGAAGTGGGAGCAGCCACACGGCTCGTGCTCCTGAGATTGCTTGTTTTTCGAGAGTTGCAAGCCTAAGCCAAGCTCCATCCTAAGCCAAGCTCAATCCTACGCCTAAGCCAAGCCTAATCTAAGCACAAGCTAAGCCCAAGCTATGCCTAAGCTAAGCCTAAGCTAAGCCTAAGCTAAGCCTAAGCTAAGCCTAAGCTATGCCTAAGCCTAAACCTAAGCCGATGTCCAAGCCCACCTGCTTCATCTGGCACGGGGAGAAAAGAGCGAGTCGTCGTAGCGCCCGCGATTTTGGAATCGCCTTCAGCCCCGCGGTTCTGATCTTCAGAAGGTCGGCTTCATCACCACGAGCTGAAGCTGGTGTTAGAGAGCTCGGCTTGGTCATTACCTGGATATTGGGCATCAGCGCGACGTACGAGGATACCTTGACTTACGCCAGGAAGTGGAGCTGAAAAGTGACAAGATGAGAGAGAGCGAGAAAGAGAGCGCGCGAGAGAGAGAGAGAGAGCGAGCGAGAGAGCGCGAGAGAGAGCGAGAGAGAGAGAGAGAGAGAGAGAGAGAGAGTGAGAGAGAGAGAAAGAGAGAGATAAACCCGACCATTCTCCTCCTCGTCGGCCTGCAACTGGTAGTACGTCGGCACCGGCACGTTCACCCCTTGCACCGGTTCTTTTAGGCGCATTTTCTGAAAGATGCTTTACTGGTTAGAATATTAAATATATAGATTTTAAGCGAAATTTAACAAGAAAGCTGTCTGTTAAACAAATATAAAAATAGATTTAGCATCGGATTTTAAAGTTTTCAAAAGTTTAATCTCTTAAAATTGATCGCGTAATGCATTCTGGGTTCTCGCTACCCTTATCCCAAACATCCGCCACAGCTGGTTCCCACCCTCCCAAATTCATATTCAAAGCGTTGTCACGGGGGCACGGGGTGGGGGTGTTGTTTGGAGCGGGGTGTGGCCGGGAATAGAAATGAGGACGCAATCGTTGCCCGTAGCGTCGCTATTGTAGGATCTTATTATTTTATTTTCGATTCCGATTGTTCATAAGTATAAATTAAATAGCTACACCCTATCATACTATTCATACGTGGTCATATGCGGTGTAAAATAAAATATATGCGTATGGAAACTAGAAAATAGGACGAAATCGTCGATCCCGGTTTGATATTCTAGGTTTGTACGGTGTAGAATTAATAAAAAAAGTTTGGAAATAGGCTACTAATTGATCGCTGAACCACTATCTTATCTTTCTCGTACTTCTGATGCATGAAAAAATTTACCTCGGTTAGTTTTACGCATTAATAGATACCTCCCATCTGCCCCCTGGAGCACATTTTAGCCGCAAGCCTTTTCTGAGGCTCAGGGGCAAGTTTTAGCCCCAGATTAGCTATTGTAAACTAGAATTAAATTGTACGCTTCGTAGAATTTTCCGCCATGATACTACTGTCATTCGTCGCGCGTGCGCTCCCTGCAACCATAGGCTCCGACACGAAAAAATTTTCGGGAAACGGGAAACTGAGTTTGTTTCATCACGGGATTCCAGTTTTTTAAGCGTTTAACGATGAAAAATAGTTTTAAAATGTCTGTTTATTAATTTCGGCACCCCTTGCAAGCGTTTTGAATAGTATCACCTTAATATGGTTATTTAAAGAGTTATTGAATAAATTTATCTTATCTCCAGTTTCGCGTTTGGTTTATGTACTCTAGAATATGCCACAACCTCGAATCATTTTTGGTGTCATTTTTAATGGTAAAAAATCTCTTTATCCATTCGTTTTCTTATGTCCAGTTCTTTCAAAACCTTATCACACGCTCAAAATATCAAAAATAATTTTGTATTTCCAGATGACGAATCTCGAGCATCCACGCCCGGGCACCGTCGCCGAGGAGGGTGAAGGTAACTTATTTTAGCTTGTACCCCAAGTAATTATTTTATAGAAAAAACTAGCTTCCCGACGGCCGACGGCAAGTACTTCGTCTCGAAGCTTCAATACGCGTCCGGCGACCAGACGTACCGCTGGTACGATTATGGAGGACATGTGAGTGAAATCTGGATTATTTTGAATTCTCCTTCTTTAGAAAAACGTCTTCACGCAGGAGCAGACGCAGGGCGCCTGGTATATTTTGGACAGCGCGACGAATGCCTACACAAACTTTGACTGGGTGACAGGAGCGGCCGAGGAGCCGGAAATCAAGGTATTCTAAGGGTTTCATTTTTTGTGGAGCTATTCAAGTTAAGGGTCAAGCTGTCAGCCTAAAAAGTTGTATAGTCTAGCCGCGGAGCTCAAATTCCAAATCTCTCTAAAAACCTAGATTTCGACTGCAGACTACAAAAAGTCGAAAAAACCGCAAAAAAATGACACCGAGACGTCTTGCGTGTTGTGGAGTTTGCTTTTCTTTTTGTAGTCTGTAGTTTAAAGCTTTCGCGTGCTCTAAGCCCTTTTTTTATAGTCTAAAACTTTGACGTTTCGCACAAAAACAGCGCAGAGAAGTTTAGTTTTTGAACGCGTGATGGATCTGACAAGTTTTTTTTCGTCCTTGTGGTAATTTAAAAGCTCCAATTTTCTTAGTTTTTTAAGCCCTTAGAATTTTAACGATATTTTGATTAGCACAAATAAATTTAAATCACTTTCAGGACCCAACCATCGCCGCCCGCGTGGCCGCCGAGAGCAACGAGCACGTCATCTACGCAAAAAGTGAGCCGCCCGGTGCCAGTTCTATATCCCTTTAAGCCACCCCGGTTTACCCGAATTCCCCACAAAAACTGTGTGCGCGCGTGTGTGTGCGCATAAATTAGCCACACCCGGGCGAGCCACACCTATATTGCCTATGATCTCCGCCGGCCTGGTGTGCCTTGCTAAAACGATTTGGTGAACACAGAGCAGTGTTTGGGCGGTACCGTTGCCGGGTGGCCATGCTAATTGTTTTTTTTAGTGAGCAGCAGCCTGCCCGTCAAGGTGGACAGCTACAACCGGATGATCATGCCCTTCAACAAGTACGGCCAATCGCTGGTGCCGCGCCGCGAGGACGACGGCACCCCGGTGAGACCCCTGGCTGCGTAATATTGTTTTTGGTAGCCGGATGCGAGTTTATTTTGCGTGAAAGCCGGCGCCTGGTCCGTCCCGATGTAACGTGTAGTTTGTTTTGCGCCTTGAGACTAGATTTGATTTTTTAGATCTACCCAGCCGTCAAGGGGAAAGAGCCGCTGTTTGCCTTCGATTTGACGACGCAGAAGCCCGATTTTCTCTACAACGAAGAGGGGGTGGGTGGTGGTTTTGCGACATTAATTACTTTTTGCTTTCAGATTCCCGTCGTGCCCATCAACGAGGAGGGGCGCCCGATCGTGCCGACCGATGACTGTGGCGCCGTATTTCCCATCGACATGGCGGGCAACTTGATCTGGCCGATTGGCGAGGATGGGATGCCGTATCCGCCGCTGGACGTCAAGGGCAAGCCGTCCATCCGGAATGATCCGAGTGGTGCGTTTGATTTTCTTCTAAAAAGCTCTCGAACCCGGAAATGATTAGTAGTTTCTTAACTTTGGATTCCAGGCCAGCCCCTCCTCCCCTACGACGAGAACGGCGAGCAGCTCATCTTCTTTGAACAGGACGACACCCCGATCACGGCCCACTACTTTTTCTCGACGTACACGAAGGAGCAGGCTGACAAGTGGGGAGGCGGAAGGTAAAATAAACATATTTTTGCTTAATTTACGTTTTTCTAGGTTACCCCCGCGCCTCGTGGTCCCACAGAAGCCGAAAAAGCTCGAAATCGACCCCTACAACTTGGATCCGATGACCCTGATGAAAAATCGTCCTGCCGGGGAGACGGTGGCCGCTTCAGACCTTCCCGACATCCCTCCACAATATGCCATGTCGATCGCCCGCCACGCTCAGAAACTTTCCGAGAAGATCGAGCTCAGCCACGCGATTGAGGAGCAGCAAGCCGAGCGGGAGCTGGAACTCCGCCGACAACAGGAGCTGAAAAAGCAAGCCGAGCTCGACGCCAAGGAGGAACAGGCGGCTCGCGAGGAGGAGGAGCGCAAGAAGCGTCTCGCCGTTTTGCTAAAGGTAATTAGGACGTTTAAAAAAGATAAATCTTTTTTTTAGTCAAATAAGCAGAAAGAGGGCGAGAAGGTGAGCCTGGTCGCCGAGCTGCGTCGTGATAAGCTGCTCGAGAAGGAAAGGCCTAGTAAGTGAATTTTTATTAGACTAATGAATTTTATAGAAGCAAACGCGCTGGAGGATGTCAAGAAGTTCCTGGAGAGAGAGGGACCGCCGCCCAAGAGACGCTACAGGGACTACGACCGGGATCGCGACGACTACCGCAACCGCTGGGAGTACGACGAGCGCCGCGACTACGACAACAAGGACTATCGACGGCGGGATGATCGGGATTATGTAATCTTTGTCTCTTACTATAATTTTCGAAAACACTAACGAATAGCCTTAATTGAAAGTCTTGTTTTCGTCATATTCGTCTCGAAAATACGACTTTTCCTTTTCAAAAAGACATTTCGAAACTGATTCGGAAATGTGGTTTTTCGCATTATCGGGGATCAACTTTTTCTTAACGTTTTTTTTATAACTGCTAAACGTCTTTTTAAAAATTTTCGTAAAACATGAAAAATATCGAGTTTTTTTCGCCCAAAATTCCAACTGAAATTTTCCGTTTTTTTTTGTTTCTTGTCCGCATGAAATATCTTGACATTATACTAATGACACTTGGAAAAAAACTTACTATTAGGTTACTAGACATTTCTGGACGCATAGGAAAATTTGGTTCCCCCGACGACGCAAATTTTGCATCAACAATTTTCCAGGATGAAGACCGGCGCCGTGGTGACTACCGCTCGAAGGGTGGGCGTAGAAGGGAGGACGAGGATCGCGACTACAAGAAGCGGTCCCGCTCGGGAAGTCGAGAGGACGAGCCCCGAAATCGGCGCCAGCACAGCGACTCCGAAGAGGAAGGGCGTGAGCCGCGCAGATCGAAGAAGCAAAAGAAGAGGACTAGGTAGATATCAGTCTTCCTTGATCTTTTGACGATTTTTGTTTACAGGAGAGATTCGAGCGACGAGGACAGCCGGAAACGTCGCAGCGACAGCTCTACGCCCGAGCATAGCCGCCGACGACGCGACGACGACGATTCGGACGGTGATCGGCGGCCCGCCAAATATGCAAAGGGGCCTCGCGAGAAGGGCAGGGTACGTGTTTTTTGTAGTTTGTCGCAGCGAATTGCTGATAATCGCGCCTGAAGTTCTCGATCAAAATCCAAATTTTTAAACATTTTGCGACGTTCTCCAAATAGCTTTCCCCCTTGAAATATGGCTACAGTTTGCGAAAAAGGCTATTAAAAGGGGCGTTATCAGGGTACTATGCCTATATAAAGCTGGTTTTAGGAAAAATGACCTTTGCAAGATGAGAAATTCAAAAATTGATTCGGAAGTAAAATGGAGAAAATTGGAAGGAAGAAATGGAATTTTTTCTAAATACGACTTTCCAGAGCCGCTCATCGTCCCGGGACTCTGCTCGATCAAACGAAGCCCGCGAATGAATTCTGAAGCCTTGCGAATGCTTCAACTCTTCCTCACCACACATTCAACATTTTCGTCGTCACGGGTCGCATGCTTTCCCCACCCCGCTGTTGTGCTTTTGTAATTTCTAAAAATGGTCTAGTATTGCCCACCTCCATTCTACTAGTTAACTCTGTAATTCCTCGACGCTCTTGATTTATTTTTATATATCTTGCCCTCGATTTATATATCTGCACTTTACCCGTTGATATCTGGAATAAATTTATAAAATAAACTTTTCACGTAACTGCGCGGATAACCCGAAGAAGGATACGCATTTATCTGCATTATTAAAACATAGATCGGATCGCCTGTATGAAAGTACAAATTACAACGTACAAAATCGTGAACATAGGGTGGAAAAGTCTTCAAATTGCGGTCATTTTTTCTTGACGACCACGTCCCGCATTTGGAATCGCAAGTATGGGGGTGTATAGTATAGAAATGTAGGTATCAGAATCTGGGGTGGGCAGGGAAGAATGGGAAAACACGCAAAAGCGGAAATGGAACAATTTGAGAACAGGAAAAGGGCATGGATTTCGAGGATGAGGGCAACGTTTATACAAAGCTCGCTAGGAAAAAATTATAGCGAAAAATGGACTACCGGGAGGAGTTTAGACCTGAAAAGAACTAGCCAAAAATGACTTGCGTGGGCTTAGGCCTAGCTTAGGCTTAGACTTTGCGACTACGCTTTGGCTTAGGTTTCGGCTTCGCTTAGGCTTAGGCCCAGCTTTGCTTAGGCTTAGGCTTAGGCTTAAGTTGGGCTTAGGCTTAGGCTTTGCTTCGACTTTGGCTGAGGATTAGCTTAGGCTTAGCTTGGGCTTAGCTTAGGCTTAGGCTTAGCCTTAGACTTAGCTCTGGCTTTGCTTCGACTTTTCCTTGGCTTAACTTACGCCTAGGCACGGCTATAGCTTTTTAAAACACTAGCAATTCCACAATTTGCCTATTTCCACTAGAATCAACCACAAATGAGCATTTTGACGAGAGGATTTTAACTAATATACACATTTCTTCACATACGAGAGATATGTAAGAAATACAAAAACAGAAAACACGCAAAAATGCCCTATACATGTATTTGTTGTCGACAAAAGACGAGGCGGAATCACAAACCGATGATATATACTTTGGATGATACGGTGGATTGGCTACGGCTACACGCTACGGCAAATTACGACTCGTTGGAATCGCGGGTCTCGCGAAGGGTGCCTGGGAGGGGATCTCTGCAAAAATCGGGTTAGTTTTCCGCAATGGTCTTTGCTAGCCTGCCCTATCCTAAATGATCTCGGCTGGCTTGCCCCAAATTTCAAATGATCTCTGCTAGTTTGCTGTGATTTCCTCGAATTATTTTTGTTAGACCGCCTCGTGAATGGTCTCTGCTAGCCTGCCTGGAATTTTTTCTCTTTCTCTCTCACACTCTCTCTCTCTCTCGCTCTCTCTCTCTCTAGCTCCCTCTCTAACTACCTGTAAGCAAGCAGTGCATCCGGGCTGGCCAGCCCGAGCGTCGTCGGCCGGCCGACCGAGCTCGACTCCTCGCCCTCGGGCACCGGCTCAAAGATCGGCTGCCTCTTGGCCGAGCCTGGAAATATGCAAATTAGGGCGCGTTCCACTACGGTATTATAGGGGTGCGAAAACTTAAGGGTGACACGGAAATAGTTGCTGCAAAAAGCCGAGTGTAGATGCATACAGAAGAGGAATGGAACGGAACTGAGAAAGCGCACGAGATAGGAAACGCTTAGGCTTAGGCTTAGGCTTAGGCTTAGGCTTAGGCTTCAGCTTAGGCTTAGGCTTAGGCTTAGGCTTAGGCTTATGCTCAGGCTTAAATAGAGGCGCGCCCTACTCTCCGGCCTCGCTGACAGACGACAAGGGCGTGCCGGGCTGACTATCTGCACGATATACGGTAGCTGGGTCTGACTTGGTGCTAAGTTTTGTCTTCAATGGCCCTTTAAAGCCCATCAAACTAGAGAGTACGTTTTACACTGCAAACACCCGTCCATGCGTACGGTAGCGCGGCTACAGTAGGATTTGACAAAATTTACCTGCTGTCGGCCCGTCGCCACTCTGGCGCTTTTGCCCCAAGCGTCGCTTCAGAAGCGGGGCCGCGGCGACGTCTGAAAGGTGGAATTAAGCGGGCAGGCTAGCAGGGATCATTGGGAACGGGCAGGCTAGCAGCGATTCTTTAGGAAGAGGGAAAAACTCACCGAGTAGGTGAAATCCGTCCCGGTTTGCTGACAGGAAGGCCTGGAGCATCTCGTTGAAGGATTGGTCTGGAAGGGAAAGGGTACTTTATCGTCGTCTATCTCTCTCCCTCTCTCTCTCTCTCTCTCTCTCTCTCTCTCTCTCTCTCTTTGTCCCTCTCTCTCACCTGCATGTGAGGGCAAAATGGATGGGGTTTGTAGCGGGGTGTTGATCGAGTTGGCGTTGAGCCAAGGGTGCCGGATCAGCTTGTCCATCGTCAGCCGCTTTTTCGGGTCGACGGTGAGGAGGCCTGGAAAAAAGTTGCTGAAAAAAGTTTCTTAAAGAATTTCTGCTAGCCTGTCTTTTCCTAAAGAATCTCTGCTAGCCTGCCCTCTCCTAAAGAATCTCTGCTAGCCTGCCCCGCGCACTTACCAGTGATCAGCTCCTTCGCCTCCGAGCTAACACTTTTCCACGATTCCGACTCGAACGAAAATGACGCCGCTCGAATGCGCTCCATGATGTCGGTGGCTGACTCGGTTTTGGAACGGGCCCGGAACGGCACCTGCCCGGACAGCATTGTGAACTGAAAAAAGCGGCTTTAGACGGATTTTTGGCTCCCTTTTCCTTTAAAAAGGAAAATGCTATGAAAAACCTGGATCATCGACGATAAAACGATTTTTAGGTACTGTACGCTCCAATCGACACCAAATCACGCACCAAAATGACGCCAAGTGACCAGAGGTCGCACTGCTCGTTGTACTCGGGCAACGAGTCGCCAATGTCAAGCACTTCCGGCGCGGCGTACTGTAGCGAGTAGCACGGGGTCCTGGAATCGGCGTAAATTTGCGTGACATTTTTCTTTTGGGGCTCGGACATGTTTCTCTAGTCTAACGGGCTGCTTCCAGGAGTGGAAAAAGGCTGGGAAAAACTCGGAAAATTTTCTTTTTCTTTTTTCCACCTCTAGCACACCAAAATGCCGAAAAACGGGCGCATTCTCAAGCGGATGGCATGCAAACGAGGAAAAGGAGGGATTTCAAGCAAATGAGGCGGGTTGAGGTGAGTGAGGGCCGTGCGAAGCCTAAGCCTAAGCCTAAGCTTATGCCTAAACTTAAGCCAAGCTTTTGCCAGGCCTAAGCCAAGCCTAAGCCAAGCTAAGCCAAGCTAAGCCAAGCCTAAGCCAAGCCTAAGCCTAAGCCTAAGCTTAAGCCAAGCATAAGCCATACCTAAGCCAAGCCTGAGCTTATGCCGAGAACACCATAAAAAGGAGACGGACATTCCACACAGGTTTTAAAGGGACCGTGAAGTCATATCCCAAGTAATCGCTGCTAGCCTGCCCGTGACTTCACGATCCCTTTAAAACGCCGTAAAGTAGTAGAGCAAGCCCATGGTTAAAGCCGAAGAAAAAGAAGAGGTGGTAGAAGAACAAGGAGCGGATTACGTACAGCTTTCGAAGCGGTTGCGTTCTAAAGCGAAAACCGTCGTTATATGATGGATACGATAGGGGGTATGGCAGTTTTCCGGTTTTTGGGAAATTTTCGGAAACCCTTTTGGAAATGCACATCACGAGAAAGGGTAAAATAAAAAATGGGGACAGCGGAAAACTCGAAACTTCGGGGAATTGTAGCTTGTAGTCTGCAGGGACTACGGTAGGCTACAGGCTACAAAACGCACTTCAGCTGCTGCTCGATCGAATTTGGGAGCAGGCGGGCAAAGCCGAAGTCGACAAGTCGGAGCTTCGCCTCGGGGTCGTCGCTTTCGAAGAGGATGTTCTGAAATTTGGAGCATTTAAAGGGGGAGTGACAGCTTCACCAGTTGAAAACGAGCTACAAAGCTTCAAAGAATTTCTGCTGGTTTGCCCGAGATCAGTCCTAGGCTTCGGCATAGGCTTTAGCTTATTAGGCTTGAGCTTTGGCTTACGCTTGGGTTTAGGCTAAGACTCGGCTTAGGCTTAGCTTAGGCTTAGGCTCAGGCTTAGGTTAGGCTTAGGCTTAGGCTTAGGCTTAGACAACGAACCTCCGGCTTCAAATCCCTGTGCACGATCCGCTTCGAGTGCAAAAATGAGACGGCGATGACGAGCTGCTTCATGATGCCGGACGCCTCGCACTCGGTGAATTGTTGAAGGCGTCGTATTCTGAATTTTTTGTTTTATGTTGATTTTAATTAAATAGATACAAATCCACCTAATTTTGTAAAGTATGGCTGTGATGTTCAGCGAAAAACCTGCCTCATCAACAACTCCTGGCCGGCCAGCAGCTCCATGATGATGTAGAAGTGCAGTGAGTCGGAGAGCATCTCCTCCATGTGGACAATGTTTACATGCCCTAAATAAATTATATTTGAGTAAATTCCTAAAGAATCTCCGCTAGACTGCCCCTCCTAAAAATCTCAGCTAGCCCACTCACCTCTAACCATCTGCAGAATCGCGGCTTCTCGCTGTGCCTGGGAGGCAAACTTCTGGGAGATGATCTTGACGGCAAACACCGCGCCGTCAGAGTTCCGTGTGCATCTCCTGCACACCGAAAAGGAGCCCTTGCCGAGGAAGCCCTGGTCGGTGGTGTCGAGCTTGTACTTGTTGAAGAAGGGGGAATTCTTGAGGAGATCCTGAAAGCGGATACTGTAATGATTACGTCAAAGATCTCCGCTAGTCTGCCCTTTTGTAGAGAATCTCTGCTGGCTTGCCCACCTGGACGTCCTCCTCCATCAGCTCCTCCCCAATGACGTTGTTGTTGGCGAACATCACCGACGGCGATATGTAGGAGTAGCCCTGGAAACATGGCTTAGGCTTTGCTTAGGCTTAGGCTGAGGCTTAGGCTTAGGCTTAGGCTTAGCCTTAGGCTTAGACGCAGGCTGAGGCTTAGGCGTGTGCTTAGGCTTAAGAGACGTAAGCTTAGGCTTAGGATTTAGGCTTAGGCTTAGGCTTAGGCGTTCGCAATCTAATGCTCACCCTAAACAACTGGTTCGAGTTGATGGGCGCGTCGGCGGGCGAGTAGAGCGGCGGCTGGTTGGTGAACTCTTGGGCAAAGTAGGTGGTGTCCATCTCGTCGACGACGTTCGGCACGATGGCCGGCTTCAGCTCGTGCCGCTCCGCCTGGTCCCAGTCGATCGACTTGAGGAAGGGGTGCTCCTTCAGCTCGTGGACGCCCTGCAGGAGTGATTTTGGAATGGGAGCTTATCAAAGGGTCTCTGCTAGCCTGCCTATGGTCTCCCTAATGATCTCTGCTAGCCTGCCCTATACGAATTCTAGGACTCACATTAAAGCCAAGCCGCTTCTCGAGCTGCTTATCCAGCAGGGCCCCGATGAAGCTCCGCGCGTCGTTGTCCATATTTTTCGGGAACGGCACCTTTTTCGTCAGGATTCGTCTGAATTTTGATTTTAAAGGGCGATTGAAGGCAAACCCGGCCCCGCCCCCTTGAATTTTCGCATCTGGCCAACCCCAGTTACAGAATCGCCGCTTGTAAGGCCGAAAAAGTGGCTCGTGCACAGCTATTACGTCCCAAACGCGAAAAGGGGATCAGTTGGTGATTGCCAGTGGTATAGCGGCTATGGATTTGCCTTCAACGGCCCTTTAAAACGTCAAAGATGCTCACTTTGCAATGTCTTTGCTCGAATTGCCTCCTCCATCAACGGTAAAGGGGGAGCAGCCGGTGAGGAGCTCGAAGGTGATGACCTAAAATATGAGATTTCGTTTTATCCACAAAAATCTCTGCTAGCCCGTCCTTTCCTAAAGAATCTCTGCTAGCCTGACCTTTCCCAAAGAATCTCTGCAACCTACCCCCAGACTCCACCAATCCACCACATCCGTATATCCGCCCTCCGGTCGGTTGATCACTTCCGGCGACATGTACTCGATGGTTCCGCAGTACGAATTTGCCCTCATTAACTGAAAAATCTTTTCCTGAAGAATCCCTGCCAGCCTGCCCTTCCCAAAGCATCTCTGCTAGCCTGCCCACCTCTTCCGGGATTAGCAGCTTGCTGAGGCCGAAGTCTGTCAGCTTCACGTGCCCCTCCTCATCGAGCAAGATGTTCTCCAGCTTCAGGTCCCGGTAGATAATGTTTTTCTGGAGAAATTTGAACTTTAAAGGGACTCGGAAGGAAAATAAATGACCTATATGCCCCTGGGAATCAGCCAAACGACCAAAAATCCCAAAAGTAGCCAAAAATCGAAGGGGCGTGGCTAGTTTTTGCCTTCAATGGACCTTTAAAAGTGAAAACAACCAACCTTATGCAAATTATCAATGGCCACGATCAGCTCGGCGACGATGACCCGCGCGGCCGGGACGTCAAAGTGCCCTCGGCTGCAAAGGTGGGTGAATAGCTCGCCGCCGCGGACGTATTCTAAAAAATCGTTTAAAGCAAATGTAACTAGCAGAGATTTTTTAGGAAAGGCATGCTAGCAGAGATTCTTCACCGAGCACTCACCCATTACGATATGTAATTTAGTGTCGGTCTGGAAGGCGTAGAAGAGGTTGACGAGAAACGGGACCCCTCTGAGCTTCTCCAGCACCTGCCGCTCGGCCATCGTGTGCTCGAGGGTTTTCGGCTTCGAGATTACCCGCGTTTTCCGGAGCACCTGAAAGTTCGAAAATTACCTTAAATTTGCTTTTTTACCTTCATCGCGTAGATGGTGCCGTGGTCCTTGCCGCCGACCTTGCGGACCAAGTAGACTTTTCCGTAGGCTGAAATAGAGGTGTTTACAGGGAACACCTGCACCCGTTTTCTCTCTCTCTCTCTCTCTCTCTCTCTCTCTCCCAAAAAACCCACCGCCCTTGCCCAGGACTCGCAGCAGGGCGAAGCTGCTCATGTCCACCTTCTCCTCGTCGGGCAGGTCCATGCTGTTCTTGCGGAGGTTGGAGTTTGGACGACTGCTGGAAAATAGACACTAAGCCGGCTCGTTCCCAAAGAACCTCTGCTAGCCTGCCTCAAGAATATCCGCCCACCTGTTCATCTCTGCGTGCTGCTCATTGGAGCTCGGCGGCGTCGGGTACTCGTACTGGCTGCTGCTCGTCCCGAAGCTGAAAAAGCGAGCATTAATTGGAGGACTTGTACAAGTTTAATAGCTCTTAACCTGGAAACGTGCCAAATGCCGACCGGCAGATCGGCGCTAATAGAATTCTGGTGCTCAGAATTTTTGCGGAACCGTGGTTTGGCGCCCCGGGGGCCAAACCTAATCGAGCGGAAATCGGGCCACGTTTTGTGGCAAAAAGTCTGGCGAGGCGAGCAAAGAGCGGTCAGTAGGGACGAGCTGAGGCTGAGGCTTAGGCTTAGGCTTAGGCTGAGGCTTAGGCTTAGGCTTAGGCTTAGGTTTAGGCTTAGGTTTAGGCGTAGGCTTAGGCTTAGGCTTAGGCTTAGGCTTAGGCTTAGGCTTAGACTTAGGTTTAGGCTTAGGTTTAGGCGTAGGCTTAGGCTTAGGCTTAGGCTTAGGCTTAGGCCTAGGCTTAGGCTTAGGCTTAGGCTTAGGCTTAGGCTCAGGCTTAGGCTTAGGCCTAGGCTTAGGCTTAGGCTTAGGCTTAGGCTTAGGCTTAGGCTTAGGATTGGCTTAGGCTCTGGCTTAGACTTCGGCTTAGACTTAGGCTTAAGCCTGGGCTTAGGATTCGCTTAGGCTTGAGCTTGACTATGGTTCTTGCTCCCTAGGCGACATGCAACGCACTTTTTTTTTACTTTTACTTTTTACTTTCAACTTTTCCACTATACCGCTGCGTACTGGACTCCTAAAGATTCAGACCCAAAAAATCCTAAATGATCTCGGCTAGCCTGCCCTTCCCAAAGAATCTCTGCTGGCTATCGATCGAGGTGTGTTGTCTGGAGGGGCGCAGATTCCTTTTTTCCCATTCCCTCACACACCCCATTCACGAGAATATGAAGAACGCGGGAAAAGTGGCCGTCCGGGGTCTGGAGAAGATTTGGGGCCGAGCCTAATTTGGATGCACGGTTTTGGGGATGACAAGCTAGCAGAGATTCTTTAGGAAAGGGCAGGCTAGCAAAGATTCTTTAGGAAATGGCATGCCAGTAGAGATTCTTTAGGAATTAAACCAAACATAACACCATTTTTCCCCCCGGTTCTTTGCTGCTGTTCGCCGCGCCGCAAAGTGCAACCCCACTTTTGGGTAAACATTTTGGCCCCCACCGGCGGGGTGGCTGCCAAAAAAATGGGCTTGTTTACGTCGTGTCTGGGCGCTGGGGGTCGCTTGGATTGATTTGTGGCAAGGTCAAAAATCATGGGGAGGGCGTAAAGAATCTCTGCTAGCCTTCCTTTTCCTAAAGAATCTCTGCTGGCCTGCCACTTCCTAAAGAATCTCAAAAACATGTGTGGCTCCTTGCAAAAATTTCTCAAAACTGGGCCCTGGGCCACTTTGGGAGGGCCCAAAAATTGCCAGGGTTCCGGAACAAATTAATCAAATAGCCCAGGGGTCCGACCAGCTGGAGGCCGGAAGTGAGGGTCGAAAATGGGTGAAAAATTAGATCCGGGGCAGGCTAGCAGAGATTCTTTGGGAAAGGGCGAGCTAGCAGGAATTATTTGGGAAAAGGCGGGCTAGCAAAGATTTTTCAGGAAACGATAAAAATATTTCGGTGCGCGCGCTAGCAGAGATTCTTTAGGAAAGGGCAGGCTGGCAGAGATTCTTCAGGAAACGGCAGTTTAGCAGAGATTTTTTAGGAAGGGGGTGGCCAGCAGTGTTTCTTCAAGAAAGGCAAGCTTGCAAAGGTTTTTTAGAAAAGTGCAAAAATGCGCGATTCGGCTTTTTGGCCTTCATTGGCCCATGTTGGCCTGATGAGCAAAAGGGCCCGGTTGCAAGGCATGGGCTAGAGAGCGGACAGAACATTGAGAACCAAGAGAAAGGGGCCCGGCTTAGGGCCCAAATTCGCGTGTTGAGACCCAGAGGGTGAGGGCCCAGGAAATGGGGGGAAAACACGAAAAAGAGCGCCAGTCTTGAGCAGCGTCTCATTTTTGGGGCTTCCCCTCTTAGAATTACATGGGGGGCACAAAAAGTGCACAATTGGAGGGGCGAAGGTGGCAGCTAGCAGAGGTCGTTTGGGAATTTGAAGGGAAGGCCAGTTAGGTGATTTGAGAATGACCAGGCAGGATAGCAGCGTTTCTTCAGGAAGTAGGTTAGCAGATATTCTTTAGGATTTGCAATGGCAGTCTAGCCGAGATAATTTGAGGAGCAGAGGCGGGCTAGCAGAGGCCTTTTTGGAATCGAGAGGCAGGCTAGCAGAGAAGTTTGAGGATTTGTGGTAGCAGGCCAGCAGGAATTCGTTAGTATTGAGAACGGTAGGCTCGCAGAGTTGATTTAAAGATCCGAGGCGGGCTAGCAGAGATGATTTGGGAATCGAGAGGCAAGCTAGCAGAAATTCTTGAGGATTTGCAGCGGCAGGCTAGCAGAGATTATTTGGGATCCGAAAAAAGCTAATAGCTATCGTTTAGGAATCACGGGAAGCTAGCAGAGATCCTTGAAGAATTGGACCGGCACTTACAAGCTATCATTTGGGACGGTAATTGTGGAATCCAGGGCAAGCTAGCAGAGACACTTTTGAAAAATTTCTTCCCCGTCACGATCCCTTTAAAGATCCTTTTCCTTGCTGAAGGAAGCAGCCTGTCCATCCTTTTTGGTCTTTCAGGGCCCTGGCCATTTTGTTGACCCGCTCCCCCGGGCCGGGGTCCCGGCTGGAAAATAGCCAGTCCAAAACCGGTTCACAATTCCGGGGGTGCCCGGAAAGGTCAACCGGCCCGAGCCATTCTCGAGAATTCCACCCCATTCCGATTGCCATCACGGGAATTAAGTCCCTGTCGCGTGCTGTACTTTCAAAAAAGCGCCCCGTACTATAAGATACAGTACTTGGGAAGTTGATAATAATCGGGAGCAGAAATTCTTTAGGAAAGAGCAGGCTAGCAGAGATTTTTTAGGAACGATAGGCTAGCAGAGATTCTTTAGGAAGAGGCAGGCTTGCGGAGATTCTTAAGGAAAAGGCGGCTAGCAGCCATTCTTAAGGAACATAACTTCCGGCTTTAGTTTCGCAACACCCCCTACAAAACACCCCCAAAATTGCACAATTTTTCCCCAGTCACAACCCACACGGACCACAAAAAAAAGTTCCGCCCCGATACGTACCGATGACGCAAAAGAATTAGCTAAAAACAGAGTCAGGCGGAGGGCCAAAATATTTGCTCAGCGGGCGGGCCGTTAGATTAAAAACTGGGGCAGCTAGCAGAGATTCTTTAGGAGAGGGCGGGCTAGCAAAGGTTATTGAGGAAAATAGCGGGTTCCTTGGTCAAATGGTGGCCAGCAAAGATCCTTTCGGAGATCTCGAAGGGCGGCTTGGCAAGCTAGCAAAGATTCTTAAGGGGTTGTCGAGGTGGAGCTGGGCAGGCCAGCAAAGATTCTTTGCGGAAAGCACAGATCTGGATCGGCAGGCTAGCAAAGATTCTTAAGGAAATCCAGGGCGACCCTAAGCAAGTTAGCAGCGATTTTTGAGGAAAGGGAAGCTCAGGCAAGGCAAGCTAGGAGAGATCTTTCCGGAGACGATGCGCAGAAAAGGCTAGCTAGCAGAGATTCTTTGCGTAAAATGTAGAACCTCGGGGCAGGCTAGCAGAGATTCTTAGAGAATTCTCAACGACCGACTAGGCAAGCTTGCAGAGATTCTTTGCCGATCGGTTTCCCCACCTCCAACAATGATAACTCGGCTGGGGCAACTGCTCGAAATTGAAGAATACACTGGTCGTCATCACGGATTAGTACAGAATTAGCAAGTTTCCGCCAATTTTCCGCGTGTTCATAGGATGGTTGCGTAGTGTTAGGGGGTTTCTGTGTCTGGCAGAATAGACACACTGAATAGGACAACCCGGGGCACATGGCTGTTGTTTGTTGTTGACGCGTAGCTGGGGGCACGACGCAGGCCACGCCCCCCGTTTCGGGCTTGCAGGGGTGCACTTTAGGGCTGGAGATGAAGCCGGGAAAAATAACTGGCCCGGAAGGATTCAAAAATCGCATGCGGCGATCAACCGGAAAAACAGCTGGGCTTAATTAGAGTGGAAAACTAGCTGGATGGGTTTAAATGGAGGATTTATCTAAATAATGCCGATTTACAGAATGCCGATTTTACACATTTTGGGTTTTACATAAAAAATACAAACCGGCTCCCCATAAAAAACATTATCCAACTTGGCCATGGCGAAGCCGCCAGATCTGAGGCTTAGCTTTATTTTTCCCAAAGAAACCGTAGTTCCACGTTACTAAGGGATCACCCTTGGGTTACTAGCACTTGTCTCTTGCCCTTCCTCAATGATCTCTGCCAGGGATCAGCTTTCGCAAAGTGTCGCTGCTAGCCTGCCGGTGATGATTGCAGTTTTCGTAAATGATCTCTGCTAGCTTACCCTACCCTTCCTGTGCTAGGGCTCTGGGTGTCAGGGCCGTTTTTGGGGTTTTGGGGAGGGGGCGGGGGACGGGGGTAAAGCATTGTGGGGATGGGGGGGGGGGGGGGAGAGGGGGGGAGAGAGAGGGGGGAGAGAGGGAGGGAGGGAAATTTGCTTTTTTTTTGGCCACCACGTGTATGGGCCAGGCTTTTTCGTAAGTGCCGCGCCTGTGGCTGCAGCCTTACCAACCGGTTGCTTAGGCATTTGGACTACGTAGAACACGTAGCCAAGCCAGTATTTACTGCAAAGCCGAAGCTTTTCAAGCAGTTCAGAAGCCGAAGCTTTTCTAGGCATTAAGGGGAGCCATCCACCCATTTTCAGGCATTAAGGGGAGCCCTGACACCCATTTGTCAGAAGGTTGGGGTGAACCGACCGACGAATTGAGGTGGAGAGGGTTGGACAGTGGGCCAGGTGGTGGGCGATTGGGAAAGCACGGCGGCGCCCGGTTCGATTACCCAAGTTTGCGGTTAATTACCCAATTTTCTTATGCCTAAGCCATGCCCAAGCATAAGCATAATTTTTCTGAAATTTTCAGATAATTGGGGTGAGAGTTTACTTTACCCCCCCCCCCAGCCGGAAAGTCCAAAAAAAATTTTTAAGGCCACCAATCGATATCCCTGAGCCCCAGCTACTGGTATAAACTGATAATGCCGATTTCAAGAATGCCGATTCTGTTCATCCAAAACAAATTCCAAGACTGTTTATAAACAGCGATTTCGACGCCTGGCCAGCGGTCAACCGGGTGGGCAACAATGAAAAAAGCCCCCCGATAAGGGCCGGCTAGCAGAGATTTTTAAGGAAAGGTCGGCCAGCAGAGATGCTTGAGGAAGCAGGCTAGCAAGGATTCTTGAGGAAAAAGCAACCTCGCAAATATTCTTTAGAACAGGCCAGGCTAGCAGAGATTCTTGGCCAACTAAGCTGTAACAACTCGAAAAACCACCTAGATAAGCGTCGACGCTTCTTACGGCTCAACCAGCAACCCATTTTTGGCGTGGAATCGAGGGGGAGCGTAGCGGAAAATCGATGAAATCAGTTACCGGCTTATCTCCGGTGTTGATAAAGCCGAAAGGCCCAATATACGCCCTTTGACAGGCCCCTGCGCTGCGTTTTTGGGCGGTTTTTCGGAGGTTCGTGTCTGTCTCGCTCTCCCTTGCTTTCTCTCTCTCTCGCCGCTTTTCTTAAAGGAAATTGAAACCGGCTGTGTGAACGGGGCCAGAAAGTTTTTCCCGTTCCCCAAGCCGTGAATCACCACGCCTTTTTGCGCCCCATCTCGGGGGTTATAATTGGAAAAAATGGCCAGACTCGACACAGAAAAATGGCAGAAAAATCGTTGCGTGAGGGCAAACAAGCAGAGATTCCTTGGGGAAACCACCCAGCGAAGAAGTTGGTGAGAGTTTGATTGAAGATTGACTAGAAAGTGGGCAGGCTGGCAGAGATCCTTAGGGATTCCCGGGGCCCGGGCTGAATGAAATAACCCTGGCAAAGGAGCCAGCAGAGGTTCTTGAGACGCAGAGGCGGGGCAGACTAGCAGAGGTTATTTAGAAAAGGGCAAGCAGAGATCTTTTATCAAGCCTGCACTTATTGATCCCAAAAGTTATGAAAATCGAAACTCCCGTGTATGTGTGCCATGATTCAGGGCAGCGACCCTGGGCAAATCGCTTGACAGTGTGAGACTATCTCTCTCTCTCTCTCTCTCTCTCTCTCTCTCTCTCACTCTCTTTTGTCCCCACATTTTGATGGTCCAGTGTCGCGCGTGTATTCGACAAACAGAGCGCCCTTTTTTGAGGTCGAGGAGACGGGGAGGAGTGGCATTTCGGAGCGGCAAACTTGCCATCTCTCTCTTTCTCGCTCTCTCTCCACCCATCTGGAATCGATTTGTCTCGGAACGAAACATGCAAGCAAACAATGCTCATACGTAGGGATCGCTTGATTCTGGATTAAAGGCCCTGGGAAGCCAAGAAACTATGTCATTTCCTGAAAAATTTCTGCTAGCCTGCCAGTTCCTGAAGAATCTCTGCTAGCTGCCATTTCCGAAAAGAATCTCCCCTAGCTGGCAAGTTTCAGTGCCTTCAAAGATCCTAAAAAATGAAAGAAATCACGAGAAAAATGAGCGAAAAATAAGTATAAAAAGCGGCACCCAACAGCTATTTTTCGCGACTACCTATCAATTTCCTGGGTGCGTCCGTTGGCGGATTGTCTCGTAGTCGGCCGCCCCTATCTTTTTTTGATGGATTTCCCGAAGGGGAATCGATTGTTTTCGGGGCTGATCGGGGTGGCCTTCAGCCAACCCCCCGAACAGCTCTAAAAACAGGGCAGGCTGGCAGACGGCTTTGAGGAATTGGCTACGGTAGGCGCAGGTTGTGTTTAGGCTTAGGCTTAGGCTTAGGCTTAGGCTTAGGCTTAGGTTAGGCTTAGGCTTAGGCTTAGGCTTAGGCTTAGGCTTAGGTTAGGCTTAGGCTTAGGCTTAGGCTTAGGCTTAGGCTTAGGCTTAGGCTTAGGCTTAGGCTTAGGTTAGGCTTAGGCTTAGGCTTAGGCTTAGGCTTAGGCTTAGGCTTAGGCTTAGGCTTAGGCTTAGGCTTAGGCTTAGGCTTAGGCTTAGGCTTAGGCTTAAACCTAACCTTGGCGTAGGCTTAGGGTTTGGCTAGGCTTGGCTTGGGCTAGGCTTAGGCTAGCACTTACACTTAGGCTTAGGCTTGGGCTTAGGTTTGGGCTTACAAGCTCGGCTTAGAACCATGGCAGGGGAGCCTATACCATTAAAGATTTCCGATAGGGCCACGACAAGCTAGCAGCGATCGTTGACCAGGCTTTGAGCTAGAGAGAGAAGAGAGAGAGAAGAGAGAGAAAGAGAGAGAAAGAGAGAGAGAGAGAGAGAAAGAGAGAGAGAGCGTAATAAAGAGATAGTACCGTTTATCCCTCAAGCATGCTAGCAGAGATTCTTTTCTTCACGCATTTATCAGTAGTGAAAAGGTGCTTTTCATCTTTGCTTTCTTTCTCTCCTCTCCGCGGCAGATCGCTGGCCGCCTGCCAGCCGTCAAAAAAAGCCTCGGCAAAACAAGGCGGGTGTCTGGCCGGGGCCAAGTTGGCCGGCTACGTGCCTCGAGGGCACGTTCCAGGCAACACCGCTTGTGACCCTGGGCGGAAGCCAAAAAAAATGTCGAAAAGGGCCGACAACACGGCGGGATGAGTGGGCACACAATGTGATCGGGGTCAGCTGGCCGGACGTTGTGCGGTTGGGATGAATTCCGGAAACGGGGTGGGGAAAAGCTCAGAAGTTAGTGCGAGCTTTAAAGGGTTCGAAAGGGGTCAGGACTTTGTTGGAAATCGCGCTGGTGTTGTCCAAAACAAATTTGTTGGCCTGGGTTTTCCTAAGGAATCTATGCTATGCTGCGTTTTTGAAAGAATCTCTGCTAGCCTGTCCTTTCCGAAAGAATCTCTGCTGGCCCGCCGTTTCCCTAAGGATCGCTGCTAGCTGCCTTTCCTAAATAAGCTCTGCTAGTCTGCCATTTCAAAATAATCTCTGTTAGCCGTTTTTCCAGAAACCCCGCCGTTTCCTATAGAAAACTTATTAAAACCAACTTTCTCATGGCGCCGCGATGACGATGGGCAGCAAATTCCGGCGATGACGTCCAGGGGAAAAGTCGGAATGCGGGCCAAGGATGGGGAGGGGGCCGGGGATTTGGCCAAAACTCGAGTAGAAGGCACCGTATCCAGGCGACAAGAAAGAATCATAAGAGGCGAACCCGCGTAATGGGGGGTGGGGCAAAAATTGCCAGGCTCGTGGAGGCGCCCGGGTTGCTAAATTCGGGATTTTGGGGGTGAATGGGGATGTACATAGCAGTAGCTGGGATCGGGCGAATTTTCAGAGGTTCTTTGGGAAGGGCAAGCTAGCAGAGATTATTGGGGAAAGGTCGGCTAGCAGTGATCTTTTAAAAAATCACTGAAAAATCTGTGATTTTCGCAACGTTGCAATCCCGTGACGAATCTACGGTAGGAAAGGTGCAAAAATCCCGGGCTTTCATCCGGGATTAGCCGGCTCAACGGATCCTGAGGAGGGTCGCCAGTAACCTGGAGGAATAACAATTCCGGTGAATGAGAATAGCTGACCGAAAGGCGAGAGAGGGAGAGAGAGAGAGAGAGAGAGAGAGAGAGAGAGAGAGATAACCATTTTTTCAGAACGATCAACTCACCGAAACATTTCTGCCCCTCGGCTATTCAAATAATCCGCACAGCACAAAACTTCTGGAGCGCGTAGATCAATTGTTTGGGCGAGGAGGCGACAGGTTGCTGTTTTCCTCCGGTTTTCCGTCTTGTCTCGCGATAACCATATCAGCAACACTCCCGCACCAAGGACAATCGCTCTCGCCGCGGCCCGACGAATTTAATGCGGCGGCCCTGCAAAAAAAAGTGTCATTTTTTGGCTATAAATGGGAAGGTCGCGAAAATTGGCCAATGACCTTTGCCAACTTGCCATTTCCCAAAGAATCTCTGCTAGCCTGCCATTTCCCAAATAATCTAGCGTGCCTTTTCCTAAATAATCTCTGCTAGCCTACCCTTTCCCAAAGAACCTCTGCTAGCCTGCCATTTCCTGAAGAACCTCTGCTAGCCTGCCCAGCTCGATAGATCGAAACTCTTCAAACAAATGACAAAATGTAACAACAAACCCGAAACTTTTCGCCCATCAATTTTGGCCACGCGACCTTGGCGAGCAGTAAAAAATAGCCGCCCCCCTGCCCGCGACATCCAAAACCAATAAACCCCGGGCGGATGGATGTGCAAATAAAATCCGGGGGCACCCGGTTGATTTTAGGTTCCGCTGAATTTTGTTATGGCAATTTTACAAAAAAAAACCCATATTTTAACTAGAGAACTACCTAAAAACTTCGCAAAGTTCTCAAAGAGTCGGAATTTTGGTCAACAACGGCCACTTCTGGTCGAAAATCTATATTTTTAATGTTTAACCAGGGTTGAAAAGCCGCTTCGCGACTTTTCAACCCTGGCCCTGTCGAACCCATAATATTCTTCACTCTGCATACGTTTCTCGAATTCCCTGCATTGAAAAAATGAAAAAGGCCTCTCTCTCGCATTATATATAGGCTACCGTCACTTCCGGAGTATGCTAATTTTTCCTAACAAAGAGATCGGCCGATTTTTCAACAAAAACTTAATTTTAATGTTGAAAATAGCAGAATTTGCAACATTTTATATGCCTGCAGTCATCCCAGAACCATTACGCACCTAATGACGTATCATACGTCGCTTAATACCCTTCCCTTCTTGAGATATCTTCCGGACACCCTGACGGAAGTTGCATGCAAAGTGGCACACACACACAAACACACAGACACTATTTTTTTATATATAGTAGGATAAAAAGTAAAGCTTTTACTCTTCAGAATAGTAAAAGAACAGTTTAAAAACACTACCGTTTCTATATTTAAAAAACTGGTTGCTAAGAAAAAAAATTTTCAGGCGCGTGTCACAGGCTTGGGATCAAGCTAGTTTCTCAGGCTTGCGCCCAGGAATAACGAAGAAGCTGGTCGCTGGGCTTGTGTCGCAGGTTTAACGACGAAGCTGAACCCGCGGAGGTGGATGGAAGGCTTCGTGATGAAGCCACGACTGAATCTTGTCCGGCTGGCCGGAAGGTGAAGCCCGTCGTTGAAGCTGATTTGGCAGGCTAAATGACGAAGCCAGTGGCCGACGCCATAGCGGCGGGCTTAATATGAAACTTGCGCCGGCCCTAACTATAAGGATAAAACTATCATCTGGAGCAGGCCACCGAAGGTTAGACGACCTGATTCCTGAAGCACGCGCTGCGGATCTGAAGAAATCTTAAGGGCAAAAAAATGCATCATTCGATGTGACAATTAGTCAAAGATATTTATAAAAACATGAGAAAAATGTATATATGACTGGATAGCAGCGCGTTTATCACAGACCGGTCAACTAGTAGATCACCAAGGCGGGAAATGGGGGTGCGAAGGAAGGATACAGGGAGGGAATAGGGCGGAAATGCTAGTATACAAAAAGCATGCCCATTAATTAGTGAACCCGGGGCATATGGGAAAACAAGCCTATAATTAAATTAATTAACGATTGGTTAGTGAGGAAATTGTGATCATTGCTTGAGGTTTTGAGGAGGGCGAGCAACTTATTAGAAAAACAACCCAAGTTTACTTACATGAGAAGCAGGTGCTTGCGCATTATCGGGGGGCGCTAATTCTTTCAGATTAGTCCAGAGATGCCTAGTAACGGACCATTAACTGTTTTCATCACGTCTTTAGTAGATCTAACCACATCTAAAGAAAGTTCTCTCAACCCCGACAAAGAAAATCGAAATTCGGCTTGAAAAAATCTTTTTTTTGTGTTTTTAACAAAAACTTGAAGAAGCCCCCCGATAATGCGAAAGCACCGTGAAACTAGGCGTGAAGCTGGCGAAACATCACAAAAGAGTGTAAAAAATGACAATCCAGATTATGACACGACGAGGAATGGAAGAAACATAGCTCATTGGGGGTGACACGAAAGATATCGAGCCGTTGGGATAATGCACATAGAATGATGGACCCGTAATGTAATGGAATACCTATGCCAACCGCGAAAAACAAGAAGTAGATCAAAAATGTAGATCGGCCGCTACAGGGCACCCTCGTCCGTGTCAGTGTCTATGAGCAGCTCCTGGGTGTCGCCGTCACGGTCGGTGCGCTGAAAAGAAAAAAATAGATAGACATTTGAAATTGGCGTACCACTAATCGCGAGGTTTCGCGTTTCCCTTCTAACAGCGCGGCGCCGATGAAGGAGATTGTGATCGGGCAGGCGGCGATCAGCTCAATCGCCGTCGGGATTCGGCCACGAAGCCCTGGAATTCCGGATTGAAAAATTTCCTCAAAACGACTAATAAAAATGCATTCAAAATCGAACCTGCATCCGCCAAAAAGGAGAACGGGATCGATAGGGTCATCGAGAGGGAGGCCGATAGAGAATCCGTCATCCCGGCGCCGAGCAGCCACAGGTAGTCGGCCAGCATCGTACCTAAAAGATTGTAATGCATTTCGGAGCCAGTTTTGATAAAAAAAATCGGCGTACATAGGATAACAGGAGCGGGGGACTAAAATTACTATTTTAAACTTTGGAATTGTTGTTGGCTTTCGCGAATGCATGGTTAAAACGTCAAAAAATATACGAAGGGTAATAGAAGAGTTTTATAGCGTAACCGTCATTTTTTTCAGCCCCCGTTATCCTATGTGCACCAAAAAAAATCACAAATTTTACATCAGCATCAGGGAAAACGCACCAAACGCTCCGGCCAACAGCGTCGAGCCGACTTGAAGTTGATTGGGCAGCGGGTAGAGGCTCTCCAACTTGGCCGCGTCGACGACGAACAGCATCGGCGTGCCGACGAGGACGGCGAGCAGTCCAATTGAACCTAAATTTAGGAATCATAATTTAATTTTGAAATTGTTCGAATTGAAAAACCCTCAGCGATAACTTACCAAACATCAAGTCAATGTCCAGCGTTCCGTAGAGCGATTGATAGCGGGCGTAGGCGGTCAGATAGAGCGCGTAGCAGACTGCAGAGATCTGAACTGAAAATGTAGCTGAAGAGGTTCAAAGAACGCACCTGCGCGAAAAACGCTCCCCAAAACCCGAGCGAAAACTCGGAGACCAGGGCCACGCCGCAGAGGTTCAGAGCCACGAGGATCGCCTGAAAACTCATTTAATCCAAAAAAAAACTGCAAACCTTTGTTAGGGTGAAGCGCTGCCCGTCAACCGGGATGCAAACGGCAAAAACGAGCACGAACAGGGAGGAAGAGGACGATATCAAGTTCAGATCGGCCACCGACGTGAAGGCGAGCGCCGTTTGGAAGGTGAACGAGCAGACGAGCCACTAAAAACGGTGCGGTAGAATAAAAAACCCGCCAAAAACCGACCATTGGCGCGAAGAAGAGGAGCGTCCATCGAATATGCCGTTGAATCGTCCACGAGCACGAAATCGTGCATTCTGTCGGATCGTAGGGCCGTCGCGCGTGCCGAGCCGCGTCCGCTTCTCGATCAGGCATTCGGCGGACCTGAAAAAAGGACATTTTGAAGGCAAAACGACCAAAAACGCACCTCTCTCTGCTCGGCGAATCGAATTGTTCGCTGTCGAGTCTCCTCCAGCGTCGACTCGTTATCAGAAGACGTCATCGTTTCGAACCCTTCGACGCTCTGAAAATAAATGAAATTCACGGTCTAATAAGGATAAGAGTGCAGAAAGAAAACCACACAAAAGCCCACCAACGAGTCACCCAAGTCCAGATCCTCGAGAAGGATTTTGTAGGACTTCTGAAAGCAAACGGAGGTGCATGGGGCACGCAAATTGAGGCATACCTCGGTCGGCGGCTCGCCAGGCTTCTTGAGGAGGTAGCGGAGGATGTAGACGGACAGCATGCAATTCTTCAGCCACGACACGAAGAACGGGCGGCGGAAGTGCTCCTCGATGAAGATATACTGAAAAATTTGATTAAATGCTGAAAATTAGAGCAAACCCGAAGAAGTTCGGAGGACAGCACCCACAACACGTTGACGACGAGCAGAATGAGGAGGCCGAGCATACGACGGCTCAACCCGAGCTCGCGACGGCGCTCCTCCGAGCCACGGAACACCAGATCCGGCAGGTCGTGGCTCGGCGACGGCATAAAACCCTGAAAATGAGAAGGGTAATCGGATTTTTGACGCGTGAAAGATGAAAAGGTCAAGCCGAATTTGTAGGTCAATAATCCAGGTGATTTCAATGAGCGTCACGAGCTTAATAGCGATTCCGAGCCGAAAGAAAGGAAGGACATGCAAGAACAGTCCCTTGAGCTGCTAATCTAGTTATTGGATTGGAGCCCGCCAGCATTTCTGAGGGTACGCATGCTCCGGTAAACGGTTGATCCCGTGCGTCCATAACATCAGATCAGCTTCGGCCTTCGAATTGAACAGTCAATGTGAAATAAAATGTTTTGTAACATTTCTACGAGCAGATTTATATCAAAAGACACTCAAGTTTTATTGAAATACACAGGAAACTGGCTCACAATCGATTTTTTTGCAAAACGATTTTATACAATTCAGGATGTAGCCATAGTCGAAATTGGCAAAAAGCCGTGAAAAGTTAAAGGGCTAGTTCAACTTTTAGAGCTTGGGCTGGTACCTTGGGAAACAATTGACGTAGGCACAGTGCGCCCTAACAATCCCCCATTACGACAGCTATTAGAGATCGGGGAAATTTCCGGAAATGAGAGAGGTGCAGACACAAAAACGCAGAGAGGGTTCGAGTATAAGATCTGAATATAAGAAATAAACCATTCAACGCAAATGCCGCCAAAATTTAACCGATTTTCAGCTGCACGTAGCTGAATCCGTTTTCGTTGAAGGTGACGCTCTTCCCAATCTCTTGGTTTTGGATGAGAATTTCGGCTTTGCCCTCGGAAAGCAGTTGATAGGGCTAAAAATGGTTTGTGATCGCGGGATTGAGATATTTACCGTAGCCCATGCTTCGTGACCCAGGCGGCATAAGTCAAATTGCCGGATGCTGGCTTCGGCGCAGCGCGTGACGCTCCATTTCTAAACGGATAATGAAAACCGAGAATTGCCTTTCGTACCGCATCGACCACCACGACTTCATTTCCCGCCTCGCCAGGGCCTCGAACATTCAGGAACCGATAGCTCCCAGGTGTTATGTCAGTCGCTAAACATAAATATCCAATTTCATAAATTTTTGCTCACGCGTATTCATGATCAGCACCTGGAACGCGGCTATCTTCTCGTAACGTTTGCGCTCGACTTTATCGAGTGCCTAAAAATTCTTATGGAAAAGATAAAAAAATAACCAGCAGATCACTTTTCCGTGTCCACCATCCTCGATAATTGTTTTCCACCAATCGTCGAAATCGGCATGTTCGACATCTAAAAAGTTGAATACATTTAGTCAAATTTTTTTTTACATACTTGTAGTCAAAATCCAGTTGTACTCTGCGATCGCTTCTCAGGTAATCTACGCAAATCGGACTAAGCGATTTGGGTAGCCATAGTTCCGCGAAATTCTGAATACTTGAATTTCGGCCAAACCAAGAAGGAACGTACTCCACAACCCAAGCAAATGTTCATCTTGATTCCCGTGGCTCGCTCCCACTTCTTGCGTTCACACACCAAACAATCGAATAGCCTGCTCGGGCGGATCGGCGGCTTCTTGCAGTTCTAAACTAACGTTTCAAACTAGAAAAAAATAGGCAACCTCTGGCAAGTTATATTGAACCATGGTTATTTCGACTCGCTGGCTGTCAAATGCTTTCTGTAACACGTAATTTTCTAAAATACAAAAACCAACCTTTAGATCGTTTAAGATTTTGTTTTTTGCCTTCTGGTCGGGAATCGGTTGCCCACACTGCGCGTCTTCTGGATTCTAGAGCAAGAATTGACATAATTTGCAAGGACAAGTACTTTTGCAATATCGAGGGGGAAGGGTTTCGCATGCAGAAATGCCTAATAACTTAGGTACTATTGTTTAAAGGTGACGTCTAAATATATTTCAAGTGAAACCAACAATCAAAAACATTTTTTTTCAACACCTTGATCGAAAATTGACCATGTTTGGTCGAAAATTCGATATTTTTGTATTGTTCAACAAAAAAATTAAAAATTCCATCCTCAGAAAAAAAAGTTAATGCGGAATGCCCCCAAAGCATGCCCCCCTGCCCCGATATTGCGAAATAACTTTAAAAAAAACCTCGCCGGGGTCCATCTCTTTTGAATAGTTGTGATCGTTCAGGGCTGAAGTTGAGGCTGTAATCATCGTGGCGTGCGCTGGCACCTGAAATTGTTTTATTTCACATGGAAACACGAACGACAAAAACAACGAAATATAGAAAAATCAGATCTCAAACTTCCATATATAAAAAATAGCATAATTTTGTGGCGGTCTCCGTGTGAGGCCGAATTCAACACGAAGGGGAAGGAGCTAGAATTTGTACCTCGAAGATTCAGGACAATTCGACCCCCGAGCCCAAAATTATCAAAACCGATCCTCAAAAATGAACTTCAGCGGCGAAAAAATATCGGGTTTTGTGTAATTTAGGGGGTGCAAGTTCATTATTGCTGGTTTGGGGGCATGGTTAGCCAGGTGGCGCGCGTTGGGGTGCGCTAATTTTTCACCTAAGCCATATAAGTTTCATGAAAGCCTTTTAATCTAATTTTTCCTTTATGTTGTCGGTGTGTTTCATTTCTCAAGGGAATTGGGGTTAGGTAAGGCATCTGAAACTGTGAGCGACGTCGAAAAGCCGGAATTTTGGTCATATTGGGTCAAGCAAAACGATTTTTCGACTTAAAAAATAAATTTTTATGGCAGGACAGGAACCAATTTACAAACACATCCGCTATTAATATAAAAATGGTAGGCCTGTGCCCCAAAAAGCTAGGTGTCGCGATCTTGGTGTGCAATGGGCCTCCGCATGACGCTCAGATATGAGATTGTACATTTTCGACATTGGATTTGTTTTTGCGAAAATCTCGGACACCTCTTTGCTACGAGAAAATAGAATACTCCGGAATCGGGGTTGCCTATATAAATCCGATATTTTTTTCCCGTTTTTTTTCAGCGGAACTCGGGAAGAACTATACAAAGTATAGACCATCATCAGGGCTGGAAAACAGCGAAGCTATTTTTCAACCCTGTGGTCAATCAATAAATCCCAAACCCGGCCGTCGTCGTTTGATTCCCCTGTAGAGCACGATATATCTAAAAGCATAATTTTTCAGGAAGCAAAACTTTGCTAGAAATTGTCTTAAAAACTAAAAGATCAGTGAAAACTAACCAAGGCCGGCTGGGCGTTTTGCTCCCTGAACTTCTCCTCCGATTCTTCCTTGACAAATGACCGGTTCAATTGGACGTCGCCTTTTGAGCGCCGCGAGGCCTTGCGGACGAACAACATGTACTTCTCGACAACCTCACAAACCTGAACATGATTTTCAGCGCTTCTTTCGGAAAAGAAAAGGCAATAAAAAATAGCGTACCTCCGCCAGGGTTTCGCAAAACGCCATTTCAGCTTCTAACATCCGAAATTCGGCGAGGTGTGTGCGGCTGTGAGGCTGGATGTCGGCACGGAACGCGCTGCCGATCGTGCAGACTCGCGGAATTCCACTGAAAGTAAGGAGTACCGAAAAGCAGATATCAACCCTCACCTGGTCATCGCTTCCAGGTGCATTTGGCTTGACACCGACAAAAACATCTTCTTGTTGACGCCAAAGTAGTCGTGCTTTTTAGCGTGCACCGTAAACGTTTCGCCGGCCCCTTCACAATCGTTGCTCGTCAGCACCGGCGTGTCGATATGCACGTAGTCGTTTTCCTACAAAAGAGAATGATGAAGCACGCCATTTTCACCTCGAAAAACGTATGCGTCAACATTGTCAGTCTAGAGCGGAGTCGCATTATGGCGGCGAAGCCCGGATGTCTGGCCCTCAAATGCACCGCTTGGCGTATCGTATCCGCAGATTTCGGCTCGTAGTCAGGCTAAACAGCACAAAAACAGTGAGAAACGATTCAAAAAGTCGAACCTACATTCTCATCAGTGGCACAAATTCTGAGCTGCTCGGCGTGCAATTCCATGTCTTGCTCTGCACCGCGACTCTTGGCGCAGTTTCCGTTGACCGCAATCGCCGCACCAACTGGGACGTTCTTGTACACGCTCTTCGGCACGACTACCTAAATCACGATTTAAAGTAAGGTAACGATCACGCTAAAATGGCTAAAACAAACGCACTTGGTGGTGCTGTTGGAAATGCAGTCATGAACTCGCACGAATGACACCTTGGAAAACTTCGACGAGCGAACGACCTAGCCCTAAACTTTTGTGTAGGTATATAAAAGCCTGATACCTCAACTTCAGCATGCCCGCATTCTTGTTGTTGCTCGACGGCCTCGCTGAGGGTGGAACACGCCGACGCCGGCGATCCTGGCAGCAATCACGGCAACATGCTAGAAAAGTAGAATAGGAACACGTTAGCGCGCAAAGTTTTCAGTTACAACTGAGGGCATTAAAAAGCAGCATTTCATAACGCCATTTACACAATGTTTTTCGAACGCTGAAGGTAATTTCGAAAGATATTTTATGATCAAGCGTTGCTCACGCTGTTACTTAATGCAAGAATCGTGTTTTCCCCTTTCAAACGGATCAGGCATTAGACTGGCTTTGCGCCCACACGCGACAATGAGAAAAATTAGCCAATTTGTATATATCCACGATTCAAGAGCCGGCCACAGGGGGAGATCAAGCCCAAAATCACAAGCTTGGGCTAAAAAGAATATCTTTGACCTAAAAAAGACATTTAGGATAGCTGGAGCTGAGGGGGCCGAGGGAGCCGGGAGCTCAAGAAGCTTAGGGAGCCCCGGATGGTATATTAAAGTATCATTAACCTTAATTTTGAACTATTTATACTATTCTTAGTATATTACTCCAAGGTCTAATACGATTTACGGCTTTTCTGAGCTCATACTGCAAAAAAGCACGTGGCTCCCGTAATAAACTGCCCCTAAAAAGAGTTTTGGTTTTGCAGCAAGTTAAACGGAAGTAGTCATGGAAAAAAGTGAAGTGAATACGCTAAAGCCCAAGTGAATAATTTTATAATTTTTCCTGAAAAAGAGGCTCAGATACAAAATTTCATAATCTTTCTTCAAAAAGACTGAATGTATAATTTGCTTTAATATTATGCGTAAAAAAAGATAAATTCCTCGAAAAACAGTCTTTTGCATGTTAAAAAGGATGCATTTTTACTAAGTTCTTCTAATGAATAACGAGGCTGTCGCAAATCGCAGAAAAAGCTGATTCAGCCCAAAAATAGAAATTATCATTCGGTGCTACAGCAATTCGGAATTGGAGTAAAGCTTTGAATCACAAAAGTTCTGATGCGGTTGAATCGATAAGGATTTAAAGTGGAGGAAGAGCTATGGGTTGCAATGATTCGAGCAACCCTGCTATATCAGCAAATGCAACAAAAGCCCTCAACCAACAGAAAAGGAAGAAAAAACAGAAAGATTCGTATTTCTAAATATGGCCCGATATTTTGAATTCAGAATGCGCGGTACGGATGGGAAGAACTGCCCCCATGAATTTTAGCAACGAATTTGGGCACCCCGGGGAAAGCTAATTTTGCGTCAGGCATATTTTGAACCACTCCACCAAAATACATTTTGCGCAACTGTCGGTGGAAAAAAATAAAAGCTTTCGAACATGTAAAGGTTGTCCTAATAAAAAAGGCCACGCTGGCATTTTCGCCAATCCGATTGACTTGAAATCTTGAACCGAAGCGCAGGAGGGAATTTAAAAATTTCCAGAAACTTCCGGGGGGGGGGGGGAAACCAAATTTTTTCGGCCCAAGTCTAAATTTTTTTTTCTAAATAGCGCATGCGTTTCTAAATTGTTTTAACTATTCCTGAGCATAAAAACTACCCACATTTTCATTCAAAAATTTAATTTTAGGTCGAAAAACCCTATAGAACCTTTAGGATTAGCGGGGGAAGACCCAAAATGACTAAATTTTCGACTTTTTCAAACTTTTTTTGAAAGGTTTTTCTACTTTAAATATAGTTAAAATTTACCAAAAACAATGTGAAAACACTTTATATTTGATTACTAGGTCCACCGGGCGAACCAGGAAAAAAATTTATTATTTTTTTACAAAGTTACGCTAAAAATATCGATTTTTCGACAAAAAAATGGCGTTCTTTTGATAAAATTTCGACTTGGTGAAAATTTTTTCAATCACCTCAGGGAAGGGGGTTGTATTAGTTTACTCAAAAACATTATGAAAATACTTCCTGTTAAGTTGCTAGGGATCCATAGACCAATATCAAGTTTTTTTTGCAATACCATTATAAAGTCCTTTATATTGGAACGAGTGGACACCACTTTGCGGCCGGTTTCCACTGGACCCCGTCTAGGACCCATAACTTAAATACCCCCCTTTTTAAGCTTGCGGCAGAAGAACGTCGGTCAAGGAGCGATTCTTTGGCGCGCGGAGCGAGGGCCAGCGTGACGCTTGAAACATTGGACCTGTTGCGCTAGTTACTGGTTTTTTTTTTCTCCCGGATTTGGCCTAGAGCCAGCGGCCCCCCCTATTTTTTTCATGTGGCGCCAAAACGAAGGCCAGGCCTAAACGGGCCAAACACGATCATCCGTCGTAGGAGGCCTTCTGGCCACTTTACAAAATTCGAGTTTTGAGTCTGAATCCGCTGAAAATCTGTAAGATGATAAGATGCGCGTGTTCCCTACTAACGGATACATAAGTGTTACAAATTACAGACCGAAATTCGATCAGGGTTTCGAGTTTTGCCCCGGACACCACGGCTCGCAGTGCACTTTGTTAAGGATTTTTACTTTGGCAAAGGTCGCTTAACGGGGGGAAAGCAATAACGGGGGTGAAAACCATTTTTCCCTTTTAGGGACCCGTTGTGCCAATTCAAGCATGCCATCGGACAGAGCGTCGAAAAAAATTACTAACATAATTAATTTCGGCCCGAAATAATGTAATTTAAATCCTTATTAGAGCAACGAAGCTGTGGGCCGTCCATGACGTATGACCATAAGGTGCCAGTAGTTTTGGGCACTTTGGCTGTTTTAACGGAATTTCAGGAATGCCATCAAATAGAGCATCAAAAAAATATACTAAGGGATTTAATTTCAGTCCGAAATCATTTATTATAAATCCTACTATATATAAAAAAATAGTGTCGGTGTGTAGAAACTTTGCATAAAAACCCGGGTTCCAGCCATAACTGGAAGGGGAAGAGATTTTATGGTTCCGAAGTGAGGTATTTAGGGGTATTCGAGGGCGTAGAATACTGCACACTTTTTCCAAAATTACGTTTTATCCCTTATTTAAACGTTTTTGAAACCTATGGAAATAGACTAATTTGCATACGGGTATTAATTAGCATAGACCGGAAGTGGGCTATATAAATATATATAAAGAGGCAGCAGGAGTTGTTTTTCATTTTTTTCGTCTTCTGAATGGAGGACAATTATGCAAAGGGAAGAATAGCATTGGGTGTCCGAGACGGGGCCAGGGTTGAAAAGTCGCGGAGCGGCTTTTCAACCCTGGTATTGATGAAAATTACAATATGCAAAGTGTTCGTGTACCAAGGGTCCCGCAGAGACCAGGGTTTTTTAAAGTCGCGAAGCGGCTTTTCGACCCTGGTTAGTTATTAAAAAACAAAACCATAGGCTGGTCATGAAGTATAACCATAAGGTGATCATCATTTTAGGCATTTTCAGCTTTTTCCTCGAGATTTCATTAGTGCCATCGGATAATGCGTCGAAAATTATACTAAGAAACTTAATTTCTGCCCGAAATCCCGCAATTTAAAATTATTACTTTATTAAGCTAAAAAGTTTAATCAATTTAAAATCGCTAAAAATGACGTTTTTTGGCCTGAAATTAAATCCCTTAGTATAATTTGCGACGCTCTTTGCGATGGCATTTTCAAAATAGCAGAATATCCTTTATCAAGACAAAAATTGTTTCCACCCCCGTTAGTTGCCCCCCGTTAAGCGACTTTGACCTTTCACTTTTTGCTTGTAAAATCCTTAAATGCAGGGCTTTCGCGATAAAGAAAAATGCGTTTTTGGCGAATATGTTTCTCCACCTCCATATCTGGCCTGCCCGCACTCAAGAACTACGGTATTTTCAATAAAAAAGGACGGCGTCGTGATGAAAAATAAACCCTAAATGAATAATCAAAATGTTTTATCGTGTGAAAATCAGCCATGTGTATCAATATAAATCCCTGTAAAAAATATTTTATCGCGGAAAACGGAGTGAATGATAATTAGTCGGCATTCGATTGTTTTTCTAATAATAATTCTAATACCAATAAGTAACATAGTTGTGCCAATCGATAGGGTCGTCCGGGGTCCAACAATACTGCGAGCCTGCGCGCCAAAATTGAGCGTCTAATGGCAGGTGAGCATTTTGGATGCAGCGATAATAAACCCAAGGTTCTTCGTTGCTGCGTATGCATACACTGACGGTGGCATGATCGCCTTCCGATGACACTGAGCACACTTTTTGAAGACTTGCCTCCAGTTCAGCTTGTTCCTAGGGAAGTTTACGGAATTTGTGCAGTTTGCACTTACAAACTGCTTTTGGAGGCGAAACTGAACTTCTGTGATGCGTTGGTGGTGTTTTTTTGGCGGTCGGTCCTGAAGCAGGAATTTATGGAGAATGGAAAATTTTAGCTTTTTTGATTTGTCATGTTAGCATTCGAGTCATCAGCCTACCAGAATCGCTTTCGTAAGCCACAAGGTCCATTCCACGTCGCTATCGAGGGTGTCGCCGTAAGGCAAGTGAAAGACGAAGTGCCGTGTCGTCGGCAACTGGGTATATCGTACATAAATTTTTATACATACTCCAACCAGAACAGGTTTAGCGGAGGCGCTTTCTGTTTTTCCACCGATTGATAATACATAATGTATTTTTATATTGTTTTTAGTAGCTTTTGATTGCTAGTAAGTCATAAAAACCTGCTCAAAATTTTGAAAATTCGAAAATTTACTTTTATAGGTTGACCCAAAAAAGTCAAAAATGTTTGACGTTTTTATTATTTTTGTATAGTTTTTAGATCTAAAAACCATCTAAAATACTATAAAAATGGTTTAGATTTTTTCATAGGGCCGTAGAAAATCACACCAAAAAATTTTGGTTAGCCCCCAGCGTACATTGCATACAAAATTAGATTTTCGGCGAGTTGGTTTTCGGCGAGAAGGTTTTTCGGCGAGATGGTTTTTCGGCGAACTGGTCCGATACCGGCCGGACGCCCTTTTGGTATCCGGGAAGTCACTACCCCAAAGATGGCTCTATTGTTTTCCATGAGGAAACGAATTTTTCGCTAGTATTCGCCATGATTCGCCATGATACGGATTTCGGGGGTAGTGTCTTTCGGGAAAGGATAAAGGTTAACGCTTCGTCACGCGTGACCAAGCGCCATCACGAGAATCATAGCTCGAAACAATACGAGTCACGAAACACGTTTCCCGAAACTCGAAGTCCCGAAAAATCGGAACGCTGACAATACCTGCAGAAATTTGGGCATCTTATAGGAGCTGTTTAAGCGCTTTTTTGCGGTTCCGAGTTTCGGGAAGCTTTTTTTCGGGAAACCCATTTCGGGCAAATTGGTTAACCCCACTGCGAAAAAGTAGCTTACCGACTCGAACAGCAACTCCAGTGTCCGTTCATTAAGCCTCTTATAGCTCATCATGACCTGAATGGAGATTTTGGCACAATTCTCAAATTTTGGGGTTTTGGAGATACGTTTAATATTTAGAACAAAAAACACTGCGGCCTCGAAAAAATTTCCCTAATAGTTTTTCGACTGATATTGTATTGGCTCGACCTGGTGAACATTTTGACGCATAAAAATCCGAAAGCCGTTCCGTGTCCATATACGGCCATATGTGCCTCACAGCGGTCCATATTTTTTTTGAACAAGCTGAAACCCACGGCCGTCTCCGCTGCGCAGCCACTCCATTGAAGCCAATCCAGTTTGCTTTTCAAATTGGATTCGCTAGCGTCGTCCGCAACCAGGGCAAATGGTCGCTTGAACAATTCCAGACTGCCGGGAGGCCACTAAGAATTGATTTATAGCTGAACTTTACATTCCTCCTGCCAATGAACAAGAACCAAATATCAACAGCTGATGATAAAATCGAGTTACCTATATAATGCCGATTGACATAATGCCGATTTTCATAATACCGACATTATAATGCGGATTTTCATAATGCCGATTTTCCATAATGCCGATTTTTGAAATGCCGATTTTACAAAATACCAATTTTCAGAATGCCGATTCTTATAGTGCCGAAGCCGATAATGCCGATTTTGCGCCTTTTCGCCGGGCGCTAAGCCATTTTTCTCTTCTCTCACATTAGGTTTTGGTGATATATTCCAAGTCTTTCTAATGAAGTCTCTAACCATTATTTGTTACACAAAAACTTTCAAAATTTTCATAGAAAGAAATTTCCGCTGACAGTTATCGGAGACTGAATTTTCGAAGACCGTTTCGATTTTTGATTCAGGGTAATTCTCCAGGAAAATCGAGGTTTCACTATTTTAAAAGGTGTTATCGCTGTGTTAAAATTGACAGCATAGACTTTTCGGGAAAATTGGGAATATCAAAAACTAGGATTCATCGGGAGTACAATGGCTTAGCACCCTAGGCAAAGTCGCAAAATCGGCATTTTGAGAATCGGCATTATGAAAATCCGCATTATGTAAATCGGCATTATGAGGTGTCGGCTCTGTCCCGAATCTGAGCCGCTCTCAACTCGAGGCATCGGAAATGATCTACATCACCCGAAAATGGTACTCGTTAGTGGGTATAAAATGAGTTATTACATCTTGTTGGTAAAAAGGATGATTGCCGGTTGGTGCCAATAGTGAGCCAGGGGACGCGCGCTTGCGTAACATTTTCGCCCAATACATAAATGGGTAGCCGGAAACCAGCAAAGTCGCTACTGACGTATATTGCAGCTTCTCACCCGAACTTCGTCGCGCCAATCTTTTGGCCAGATCGCCGGGTCCGCCGAAAAGTCTGAGACGTTGACGCTGCTCGCTTGTGGTCGTGTACCGTAGAAAAGCCGATTCAACAGCTCGATCGCCCGCCCATACTTGATATCATGTAGGCAAACGCGTTCTTCGAATGTTGCCCGAGATTCACTAAACAAAGCCATTTCGCTAATTGGTCATAGGGGAATCCTGGCCCCAGGGTTTTTGGGCGGTTCCATTTTCATACGCGTTAAACCGAAAAAGGAAAAAAATTCAACATGTTTTATGTAGTTTTTCTGAATTTCTCCTCCCCCATTAACAGTCAAGAACCACTTGAACCGGCGTACAAGTCTATAAAAACGGTCCAGTTTTAATTAGCCGGCCTACCCGAGATTATAGAAAAAAGTCGGCAACCGCCCCCACTATAATAACCGTCCCCCGTTAACCTGGAAGCACCGAAAATTCTCTCTGAAAGGCCCGATTTGGATCATTTTTTACCCCCTGCTCAACAAAATGCGATTTGGAGAAAATGATTCTCGAAGACCCTAATCCCTCAGGAATTTTCGAAAGATGGGTCTTGTTCTGAATTTCAAGCTCTATCTAGTGAGAGATGACACACTGCACAATTCCAAGATCACCTAAAAACCGGTCATTGTGAGTGCAGCTTAGGAGTAGGTTGTCATTCTGCCTAAGCCTAAGCCTAAAAGCATACGCTAGTGTAATTATCGGGGGTTTTCATAGCAAAATGTTGGAAAAGAATCGATTTTACTTCAAGACCGGGCGTTAACCAACTTGAGCTACACCAAAAGATTGTGAGCACATGTTGCAATTAACGAAACGTGCTTTGAGATTGTCAGCGTTCTTGCCTGCTTCACAGAGGGACGAAAATTTGAGACATACCCAGCTTCCATCAAAATATCACCAACTCCCGCCATCTTCAATCCAAGCTGCATAACGCCCGGCCAGCTACATTCGCATTCAATTTGTATAAGTCCCTCGATGCTGTAGCACGCGACGAACAAGAAATTGCCCTGAAATCGTTTTGAAGGCACCTCTTTATCCTATCTGGCGTGTAATGTTATAAAGCGGCTGTAATTTTGCATAGCCTCTGAAATTTCTACCTTCGACAACATGGTAATGCTGATAAGCCGAATTTTTCGACAAGTTGGAATTGGTGTACTCCGGCGGGCCATGGTCCGCTGCTAAAATGCGTAATTTTGAGCGTACTTTCCGGGTTTTTGATCGTTTTGATGAAAAGATAGCACAAACCTTTGTGGCCTTAAAAAGCGACGCTTTCTCCAGAAAACCCAGGTGGGCATGGGCGGCTTGCTGGAGGTCGGTTGGCAGTTTGGTAAATGGGAACGGCATCGTCAACGGGCTTCGTTAGAAAATGAGCTACTCGACCGCTGGAATTATTTGGCAACGCAGATGGCCTGGCCCCTTATTTGAAACCGGGATGCCGAATTGCCTGGGGTTTTGTTTGGCTCCTCGCAGCATTAATATGTGTAGCTCAGAGAGAATTTGCTGCGATAATGATAATGACAGTACCAAGTCCCAAGGAAAACAGGGTATACACAATGTTTTTCAACCGTTTGAAACGATTTTTTATCAACCTGGAACTGTATGAAAACAACACAAATGGCAATCACACCACGTCTCGTACCTAAGTGTTGAGGCACTTTCGGCATGCTCTCTAAGATTCCAATAGAATTGAGTGTCGAAAATGCCCTTTTGACTTCCAAATTTCCCTGGGAAGATCGAAGGTAGCATGGTGGTAAAGAGCCGATATACAAAAAGCTATTGAGAAAGACCGCTTTGAGTGGTACGAATGCTCCAGGCAACGGTTGATCCGGTCGCCACTTGTCATCTGCCCTCTCTCCCCGCAGTCCCACTCCCTCGCCCTTTTCCTACGTTAGACCGCGCTCCCACTCAAACCATTCCTGCCCAAAGGCATCCCCTGTTGCATAAGGATCTGACTGTTGCAGCTGGCAATTTGTAAATAACAGCCGGTACAGCCTGGTACAGCCGGTACAGCCGGTACAGCCGATACAGCCGGTACAGCCGTGGTACAGCCGATACAGCCGGTACAGCTTTGGTACAGCCGGTACAGCCGATGCGTGGAAGCCGGTACAGCCGGTACAGCCGGTACAGCCGGTACAGCCGGTACAGTCAGCTGATACAGCCGGTACAGCCGCCGGTACAGCCGATACAGCCGGTACAGCTTTGGTACAGCCGTTTCGCGGTATATGTAATTTACGTATTTATTGTTGTTATTTATTAAAATAAAGTTAGTTTTTTACTATAATATGTCGTAATTGGTCAGCTAACGCGCCAGAGAGTACTTTATTGGTGAATTGAGCTATTCGGGGCCGTAATATCTGCATTATACACCGTTTTTAGCATAGATTCTATCCGTAAAAAATGTTAGAACAATTAGCTAATACAATAAATCGATTTCACTGACTTCATTGAACGTTACATAAGCCTTTTATCGTGCAGCATCAAGCCAATGGGAGCCTAGTTTTGATGTTTCTGTGCCTTATTATTCGTTTTTAGTCCTTTAACATATGGTTTCTCGAAGGTAGTACTGTTTGAAGGTTGCATTTTGATTTTTATCATTAAGTTGATGTTGGCAGGCTGTCATTGTCGGTGCTATTAACTCCAAACTATAAATTGTATGCTTGGATCAATTGTTGACGCAAGCGCACGTGGCGCGCGGTTTTGCCTCGTGGGTAGAAGCTTACTAGGCGCTTTGCTGAAATTACTTGGGTTTTAATTGAAGCACAGGCTTAGCTTTGCTTTAATCTCGCTTGACCGAAGCACTAGCCTAGAGGATCTTGAAGTTTTAAAGGGCTAACGACGGCATAAGTAATCGGTGACGCTAGCGAAAGAAAATGCCTCGCTGGTGCTTAAGCCAGGCTTAGACTTGGTCATACTAAAAAGTTTGGCAGAAGCTAGCTTAGTTTTCACATAAGCTTCTCGGAGCTTAGAAGCATCGTTTGAAGCTACTTGCGTTAAAAATTGGCTCTGCATGACGAGCTAAAAGTTTCTTGGCTGCGAAAAACGTTGCTGCTCGGCTGTGCTGATGAAGTCGAAGGGAAAAGCCCGAAACAGATGAGCAGAATTCGCTAGTAAGTTATAAACTTACAAATAAAATAGCGAATAGGCTCCCTCGGTATAGTTTAACACTTCATTCTTAAAAATCAGAGCTTTAAAGGTGAGCTTAATAGAAGCCAAGTCTACAGCCCCGCTTATTTTTACGGACAACCTGGTCAAAGCTGCGTTTAAACTTAGGGCATGTATAAGAAAATACTGGGCGTTGCGGGAAGCCGTAGCGCAGCTAACGGTGTTTAGGTTTGAAATTGGGCTGAGAATAAGCCAACTCCTTTTCAAAGCAAGCCGCCCAAATCGGTCGCGTAGCGGTGACCACGTATTAGTGCCTACTCTAACGCATACACGCTTGCCAAGAACAAACTAACTGCTATAATTGGATTATTTTGCGAGGATTACAACGTGTTTGCACTGGAAATGAATAATAATGCACAGAAAGGGCACCAACTGGACTCCGACAAGCGGTGCTTACCTAGCAAGCTTCTGTTACGTTACAGAAAGAAACTGCAATCAATAATATGTATTAACTAAATTATTGGCACTGAAAAGAATGAAAGATCTATGAAAAAATCAGTTGAAAATGCAGATATTCCGGTCCCCATCAGCCCAATTTACCTATAAAGTACTCTCTGGCGCGTTAGCTGACCAATTACGACATATTAAAGTAAAAATAACTTTAATTTTAATAAATGATGAACAATAAATACGTAAATTACATATAACGCGAAACGGCTGTACCGGCTGTACCGGCTGTACCGTCTGTATCGGCTTTAGCCACTGTATCGGCTGTACCGGCTGTTATATACCAACCGCTCTGCAGTTCACTAACAATAAATATGACCATAGCACTAGTAGTATTAATGGCATTTTTGTATCTAAGTAGCCGGGCTCTCTAACCAATACATTCACGAATTTCAGATGAACGTCTTGCGGTGTGGAGCTGCTCGGCGATTTGCCACATCTGTCAGGAAGCCCTTCGAATATACGCCAGATCGAGCCGCCGACTACCTATCAAAATATGAAGGTGGCCAAGTCATCGTGGAGAAATATGGAGCCGATTTTCCCGACGTCGCCGTTCTCACGATCGACAACTCGAAGAAACGGAATGGTCTCACTGGTTGGTCCAAAATTACCGGCTTTGATGTAAAATGAATAATTTCTAGGCAAAATGATGTCCGATCTACACCACGCCATCACCAAGCTTGAGCAGCAGCAAAAGGAGACGCGTCTGATCCTTGTCCGCGGCGCGGCACAGACGTTCTGCAGCGGCGGCGACCTCGGCTTCGTGCGCCAAATCGCCAATTCCGACGACGGCTTCATCATGTGCAGCCTGATGAGCAACTCATTGACTCGCCTCGCCTCGCTACCCGCCATCTCGATAGCCAAGATAGACGGATTTGCACTTGGTGGTGGCGCCGAACTCGCGTCGGCTTGTGACATTCGAGCATGCAAAGTTGATGCAAAAGTCGGCTTCGTGCAGGGACGCATCGGCGTTACGCCAGGATGGGGAGGAATGCCGTTTATGTTGCGAGCCATGGGATATTCGAGGTTCGAACAATAACCTCATTAAAAATTGAATTAGAGACTAAATACCGTTTCCTTCCAGGACGCTCGAATCACTCGCCACGGCCGCCGTGATGGATGCGGAGCGACTGAAGCAGATCGGCTTCATCCAGCACATCTACGCGAATGACCAAGACTTCGAGGCGTACTTGAAGAAGTTTATGGCCATCGACATCGAGCCGATCAAGGGGTTGAAAAAGGCTGCCTCCGCTCTCCATACACGCGATTCCGAGGCGTTCAACGTGGAACGCAGCGTCTTCGCCTCACTTTGGGGTGGACCGCTTCAACTTGCTGCACTCGCCGCCAACAAGAAGCATAATTGATAGGCGTCTACTCCTTTGAGTAGATTTCGGGTAATTCTTTTTCAAGAATTCATGCGTCGGGGGTCCCTAGTAATTAAATGGAAATGGTTATTGCAATAAAATGTTTAGTAACATTATCAAGACCGGCCATTAGACATTGAAATACTTTTATTAGACATCACATTACAAATCACACAAAAATGCACCCCGAAAATCATTGATCCAGTTTGAGCTGTACGTAGCTGACGTTATTCTTGTTGAAGTCGATGAGCTTGCCAATTTCTTCCGACGGGCTCAACGGTTCCCTCTGGCCGTCTTTGTAGAGTTGATATTTCTAAAAAATGGTTAGTGCTTGCAGAATTTGCAGATTTACCTTTGCCCAAGCGTCGCTGCCGGTGTTGACGAGCGCGAAGTGACGGATAGTCGTGTCGACGCAGCGACTGACCGTCCACTTCTAAACAAAAGATTGAAACCAACCAACGCTTTTCATACCTTATCGACTAGCACGAACTTTCCCTGTGCGTTTCCGGTGGCTTCAACGTGTAGGAAACGAATATCGGCTTGCTGTATGTCGTGGCCTGAAATAGACAAAAATTAATTATTAAATTTTTGACTCGCCTTTTGTGCTCGATTTACATTTCATCGTCTCGATCTTCTCCATTCGCTGCCGCTCCGCGTCGGTCAGGATCTGAAAAAAATGAAAAATGGTTTCAGTTAAATCGAATCGAACCTTTTTCGGCTTTTCCACTTCGCAAACGACGGACTGGGCTGTGTCGGGTATGTTTAGCTTCTTCTAAAGCAAGAATTGGTATAATTTGGTATGAAACAACCTTCAGCTGTTCGATTTTTTCGGCGGCTAGCTGCTGATGGGTGGGCCCTTTGGCGCAGTGGTGGTCGTCGTCGTGGCGGTGGCTAAATGTATTTTATCGATGAGTTTAAACAAATTACCGCAGACAGTAATTCAACCCGCAATTTTGGCAGCAAATTTTGACCGACTCGGCCTGGTGGCAGCCGGTGAGCGAGCAGACGAAGGGCTTCACCGGGATGGCATCCTAAAAAAGTGTTGTGCAAAAGCATAAATCCTACAGTTAACTTTGATGTTCCATCCCAGATATTCGATGTGGTCGCGCAGCCGTGCGAGAGGCGGTGGTCGCCACTAAAAAAAAGAGGTGCTATTGCAGTTGGGGGGCAGTCCGAAATTTTGGGGTGTAAGGGGCCGCCCGCTTAAGCTGCTTGGTTTTCAGCTTAAGCCTACAACCTACCTTTTACTTACTTTTAATAAGCTTCGCTTAGGCTTTTCTTAAGCAAAAGACCAAAAATCAGCTTATGTTTTTTAAATTCCCTAGGATGTCAAAATGGGGTCAGAGCTGTTTGGGTCGCGCTGGGCTACTAACTTAGTGGTGTTAAGCCCTAGGCCTGGGCTTGGCTTGGCTTTCCAAGAGCTCTCATTTTAAAAAACGGCATTTGGAGCGTCGTGTAGTCAAAATCCGGACTGTCCCCCCCCCGCAAGTGCAATAGCACCAAACAAGGTTCTCCAACGTCAAATGGGTCTACCAGAAAAACTGCTCGCACTGCTTGCAGAGGTGGGGCGTGTAGTCTAAAAAAAAGTAAAAAATGCACCGGAAATCTCACCGAGTCTTCCGCAAATTTGTAGGGCACAATGGCGGCCGAGATCGGGCAGTTCGGCCATACCTGAAATTTATATTTTCAACAATTTGCGTCCTAAAGAAAACGAGAAAAAAGAAAGTAAGTGAATCACGAGGAAATCACAGAGCCATCACAGTCATGGGAGCAAAATCGGGGGGCGCGGGGGGCGTGCTAGGGGGGGCGCCGGAAGTTTGGTAGTTGGGAGTGTTGGGGTGGGCTTGTTTTGTTTTTTTTTTTTTTTTTTTGGGTTTTTTTTTTTTTTGGTTTTTTTTGTTTTTTGGGGGGGGGGGGGGGGGGGGGGGGGTTTTCTTGGGTTTTTTTTTTTGTTTTTTGGGGGTGACTTTGGGGGGTATTTGGGGGGGCCCCGGGGTTTTTTGGGGGGTTTCTTTCCGCCCCTTCTTTTCTTGGTTTTCTGTTTGGGTGGGGTGGGGGGTTTTTTGGGTTTTTTTGGGGTTTGGGTGTGGGGGTTGGGGTTGTGTTTTGGGGGGGGGGGGGGGGGGGGGGGGGGGGTTGGGGGGCTTTCGGGGGCCCCCCCCATGGGGGTGGGTGGGGGGGGTGGGGGGGGTTTTTTGGGTTTGTTTTGGGTTTTGGGGTTGGTGCCTGGGTTTGTGGTGGGGTTTGGGTGGGGGGGGGGGGGGGGGTTGGCCGGGGTTGGGTTTGTTGGGGTTGGTTGGGGGGGGGTTTTTTGTTTTTGGGGGGGGGGACTGGGGGGGGGTGGGCCCTCCCCGGGGTTTTGTTCCCGGGGGGCGGGCTCGGGGGGCCCGGGGGGGGGGGGGCTCCGGCGGTTGGGGCCGGGGGGGGCCGGGGGGGGGGCGAGAGTGGGGGGGCCCGGTTTGGGTTTGGGGGGGCCGGGCAAACTTAATGGGGGGGGGGGGGGGGGGGGGGGGCGGGGCCGCGGGCCGGGCCCCCCGTGGGCTTTGAAGGTTTGGGGGGGGGGCCGGGGGGGCCCCCCCCAAAGGGGGGAGGTTCGCCGGGCCCCCCCCCCCCCCCCCCTTTTGGGGGGGGCGGGGAGGGTCTCTTTTTGGGTTTGAGCCTCGGGCGGGGGGTGGGATTAATTCCCCCCCGGGGGGGTTGGGGTGGGGGAAGGGGGGTGGGGGGCCCTTGGGGCGGAATCCGCCCCCCCCCCCCAGGGCCCCAAACCCCCAACCGACCCTAAACTTCAGAAGAAGCTCAATAAATGCTTTTTTGAGCGGTGAATTTACTGTTCCTGGACAGTCGCCTGTTTTTCCAAGATGGCTTTAATTGCGAGCTGCAAAACTTCGGTGATTGCCTCGAGGGTTGCCTAAAATCGTTTAGTTATCTCTACCTTCTTTTCTCTTTTTTTTTCTCACTTTATCGTGTTTGTCTTTTCTACACGTCGTGTCTTGTCTTTTAGTCGTGTTTCTAGACTTACATCCTCATCAAATTCCGGGATGTGTACGAAGAGCGCCTTCGATTTGTCGTGGCACAGCGAGATGTAGAAGGAGAATCCGCAGAGATATCTGAGATAACCTTTGCATTACGCTTGCTTCATCAGACCAACAACATATTTTGAACTCACCGGCCCGGGTCCTCGCTGGCCATGATCGTGAGCCCGGGGTGTTTTTCTCGAGTGGCCCCGGTCACCCGTTCCGCCAAATCCAGACAATTGATCCCCGAGCGCAACTCGGCGCCGTGTACAGTGCAATTTGGGGCCATACCATTGTCTGGCAACTTCTCTAAAAATTAAAAACTTATCAAAACCACAATGCCCTGCTGTAATTCCATCCTACGTACCAGCCACATCGCCCCGGCAGTAGCCATCCCCGAACGATTGCTGCTCAAACTTGATCGTCTTCTTTACAGGGTGCACGCCAACGTGAATGATCAGCTAAAACTAACTTTTGACTGCTTCATGCGTGCTTGGCGCAGCGTTGAAGCACCTACATCCGGGCAGTGCTCTTTCCAGTAGTTGTGCACCTTCGTGTCGACCTCATTGTATTCCACGGACATCAAGTCGGTCACCAGATTCGCGTCATTGACTTCAGGGAGCCCAAGCTAACCCGCGAAAGTCTTTTCAGGCACTCCTTGAGCTTACCTTGGAAAGATTCTTGACCACCTCCGTTGACGGATTCGTTTCCCAGGGTCCAAACGGGCCAAATCCGGTCACCACAACGGTTTTTGTCATCGTTTCGCTGAAATTAATATTTTTTATGAACTTTCGGGCGATGAATACTGCGAATTTGACTTCTGAATCATTTAGTTGCGGGGCTACATGGCGACCCTCGTGACACATGAACGGTGTATCTTTCTCGAAACTCGTGCTTCTTTTTTCATCGTGTAACGCTGAAGCAAAAACAAAAAAAAACGAAAAAAGGTCGTGTTTTTATGCTATTTATGTTCTAAGTTGACTTAAATAATGCAAATATATTATTTTCAGGTAGACCTCGGGCCGTTGACCGCCTTCATCCACCGGCAGCGTACACAAGGAGCGCGGCTTCCGCCTTGAAGGTTTGTCAATTGTTGTCTTTGCAAACCATTTTTGCAGATTTACATCAAGGGATGGGCTTCCTCACGCATCTCGTCGCTTTCGCAATAGGCGTCTACGTCGGTGCGTATGCGATCCAGATGTATGACGTGAGTGGTTTGGATTCTGGATTTCGAGTCTGCCAGGGCTTCGTTAGGTGGTCTATCTTTTGCTTTTTACGCCTTTGTATGCTAGCGAAATTGTGTATATTGCGCTCAAAAACATTCTTGATTTTCCGGATAGCTAAATTTCCTCTTTAGAAGAAGCGCAGAGATGAGGGATGGATAAAAGTGGGTTTTTTGCTGACCTGGGTCGAAATTTTGCCTTGATTATCTTTGTTTTAATCCAGGTCTTTTTAAAGTCTTTATATATTAAAATTTCAGGTTCCACGCATACCGTCGCCCAAGGAGATCACGCAGCGCGTCGAGGATGCCTTGAAGCCGTACGAGAAGAAGGAAAATAAAAAGTTCCCGAAGAACATTTTGTAACCGTTTATTTCGATTTTCGTAGTACAGGGCTTTACGACGTTGTAAATATTATTGTACTGCTAGCAGGCCTGGGAATTTGGCGGGCCGGGCCGGGCCAGGGCCGAGATTTTCGGGATTTTAGGCTGGCGGGCCGGCCCAGGCCGGCCCGTCAAATATGGAGGGCCGGCCCGGGCCGGCGTCAGGCCGGACCACCACCTTGCCAATAAGTTATTTTGAGGTTTAAATGAGGTAATTTAATTACATTGTAAGTTTTCCATATTGATATTCAGCTTAAATCCATCTGTTTCAAGCAGTTAAAGTAAAAAATCCGAGTTTTGGCTTAACTTTGATTTATCAGGAAAACGACCCAGGTTCGATCCCGGCCGAAGTCAATCTTTTTGCTTTTTGCTTTTTTTGGCCGGAAATGTTCAGAAATGCTGGGAATATGCCTTGTTAGCCTTATTAGAGTGTATTAGCGTTCAAGCTACACGTGGACGTCAAAGAAATTGAACTCCACTAAGTAAACACAGACTTTTTTCTATTGAACTAAAGATGTAATGTTGTATACTGCTTTATGAATAAATTCTCGTTACATACCATACCTAAATCGGTTTGTGCAAGCCTATAGACAATTAACGGACTTGATCTAACACGTTTTTGTGACTCCGGAAAAATTAAATGATGGCATATACTGGTTTGGTAAATGTACCCAAAATGTCAGGCCGGCCCGGGCCGTAGGCCAAAAAGTGGCTGCGGGCCGGCCCGGGCAGGCCCAGACTAGACCGAGAAAAAATGGGCTGGCAGGCCGGCCCGGGCCAGCCCATTCCCAGGCCTGATTGCTACCATTGTCACCGGAATGTCTTTATTTCATGCCAGCTCGATTCTTTTTCTAATGATGCCGAGGTAATTGGCTGGAAGCTTTCGTTCCTACGTTGCCGTTTGTTTTCGATATGTATTCCCCTCTAACCCCCACTCGTAATTCTGATGCCTCGATTTCGCAAGTTGCTTTTTGGTTGTGATCCGCCGTCTCCCCTGCTTTTATCAATTGCATCATGGCCCCGTTCGTGTTATATAAACGGCTATAGACCAGGAGAAGTGCTATCTGGATTTTCTGGTTGATGCAACCCTACAATTATCACTATTATCACCACATCCGTCGGCATAGAGTTGTTATTTTTTGTAAGCAATTACACCTTGCTTTCAGGGAATGGGTCTATTCGGGCACCTGATAACGCTGGCCGTCGGATTCTATGGTGGAGCATACGCAGCACAAAATTACGAGGTGAGATTTACATCTTAAAAAAAATGTCCTGGGCGCTTTATGATGGATTTTGAAAATGCAGATGTCGCTTGCACGGGACAGCAGCGCCGCGGTTCATTGCGCGCGCGCGCCGTTGCCATTGCGCACGCGCGTTGCCCGCGGTGCGCGCGCGCATTGACCGCGGCTGGCACGGCCCAGGACGGGCCGTGCGCGGCGGGAGCGCGCGCCGCGCACGGCTGGACCGCGCGCCGTGCACGCAAGGAACCGCGCATGGATGCCTTTACTATTAATATATCCTTACTTTTCCTTGTATTCGGTGCATTTAATCGAAATTAGATACACCTTGCTCCACCAATAGTTTATCATACAATAATCGACCAGGAACTTGAATGAAATCACAATACGCGATAAGATAACAGTAGACACAGAAAAATGAAGAGTATGGATGAACAAATGATACAAACATAAGAAAAACCACGGGTTGTTCACAAATGACAGATAATAATTTAAAGTTTGCTTTTTACATTTTCTTGGTCCCTGAACATCGACGGCAGTGGTGCGCGTCGTCGAATAGCACACATCGGGCCCGACTGCATACAGACTCCGAACATAACCCTAAAGAATAGATATAAGTAGATTAAACTCTACTTACAAGTAGCACTGCAGATTCAGCGGGTAGGTTCGTCGAGCAACGGCACACATGAGCGAAAAGAAGCGCACTAATTTGAAAAGTTAATTAACTTTAGCAAAAAAACCAACCAAAAGTAGGACGTCTGCTTTGCATATCAAGGTGGCGCGTGTCGTGCAACTTGATTTTTCACAAGTATTTGCCCATGCCGTCAAGCAAAATCTAAGAAAAATTGATGAAAAGATGACGATCGATACCTCCTTCTTCTTTTGATGGTCGGTCTTCAGTTTCCTATGCGCGGGTATTGTCGGCAGCAGGAAGCAGCTCGCGTCTCGCAGCCTGTCTTCCGGAAACAACGGTCTGCTAAAAAAACATAGAAAGCCAAGACTTGAGGTGTCACCGGCACAGGGAAGACCTATTTTCCTTAGGAAAACTCCTATTGAATCCATATTGAAAGCGACGCCACCCAGACCATGAGCTTTTCATAAGGAAAAAATAGATAGGAACCTTGTGCCGGTGACAACTAAGCAAGAAACACTGACCAGTATTATCCCAGCTAACACAAGTTGACCAGTATTGACGGCAGATGTGAAAATTCGTCGCACTCGTTGCCCATCATCTCGGCGGCACCTTCCGAGGCGGTTGCCTAAAAGCTTTTAGTAAAATAACTTGATAAAAGGCTAGTGGTGAAAAGCATAGAGCAGCGTTGGGCTGGCGGCTTGAATCCCGTCGACGTGACTGGCGCATCAGAACAGGATACCAAACCTAAATTTGAACTTAGAAAGCCTAGAATGAACGATACCTTTTCCGCAAGAAGTCTTTCATTCAGCACCTTCCTGAATTGGGTTCGACATCCAGACTTTTTTATCTAAAAGGCATGCAATAACAATGAAACAATTCGAAACGAGTTGAGGATACAAAAGAGGAACGAGGTTCTCGCAAATTACGAACGGGATTAAGCTATGAAAGTAGTTAGTAATCGCAGGCCTTAACAGATTTCGATAAAAAGTTTAGTAAACGGCGAGGTAATAATTATTTTTCTCTGAACTATGGAGTTTTTTTAAACTTGTGGATTTCGCCATGAAATCGCGAAATTCTCCGTGCGGTACTTCCAACACCTATCGACGTCACGGCGAAAACGCGGCGCGCGCGCGCATTGACCGCGCACGGGAGGGGCCCGGCTGCCCGGTCAATCCGCGCGCGGCATTGGCACGGCGGGTCCGCGGCCACGGCGCGCGCACGGCGGAGTCGCGGCCCGTGCACGGCGAGCCCACGGGCCGCGCGGACATGCCGCGGCGCTGTTGTCCCGTGTGGACGTCGAAAATATCGATGCTGCCCGAAATGCCATCATCATTGCCATTGTGCGGGGCCAAATTCGATTCCTAATAATAATCATAATAATATGGTGGTCCCTGCGACCCAGCCTTCAGCTTAAATTTTGGTAAACTTTTCGAAAGGGGTAACTTTTCAAGCGCTAAGTTGAAATTTTATAAACTTCCATCTTCAGGTGCCCAAACTACCGTCCGTCACCGAGCTTCAGGGCCGAGCAGAAGAATATCTCAAGCAGTTCCAGAAGAAGAGCGAAAAATAGACGTCTCTTCCGACCACTCGATTCTTCTGTAATAATGATTTTGTGGTATATGTTCTTTCTTTTCTAGAATTCATATAATTTACTTGTCTTTTGTTGTACATCTTTGGCTTGAGCAATTGTACTTGGTCGGGTAATCTGCGATTTTTGTGTGTACTCGTTTCCCTTCGCACGTTTTCATAGGAATAAAAATAGTCTAACCACGCTGTGGGATAGATCTTGAGGAGTGGATTTATCACAAGAAATGGTGCCACAGCTTCTTCTTTCGCCGGATCTCTTCCGTCTCTTTGAAGCCGGTTTCGTAGTAGCCGGGTGCGGTGACGGGTGGTGGGCACTCGGAGCAGGGCCAGGGATGGCCCGGTGGGCCGTTGGGCCCTGAAAAATCAGATTTTTTTTGGGTAAAACTTTAGTAATTAGTTACTGAAAGGTGCCACGCACCCTGCAAGCCCTGGGGGCCTCGTTTTCCCGGGAGGCCGCGGTGCCCTGATTCGCCTGGGGAACCGGATTCGCCGGGAATTCCTGAAAGAAGCATAAATCGGCGGCGTTAACGGAAGGAACCCTAATAACCCTACGTTTTTGGTCATTTTTCACGTAATTTGAGAAAAAAAAACGACAATTTGCGGAGATTTGTACATTTTATTACGGGCTTTTATATCTGGGATGGTGTAAATGCTATAAAAATCAAGGCATTAGCAAAAATGGAGGCTTAGGTTAGTG